ACTACAAGGTGATTAGGTGTAGTTGACAGAGGACTCTGCTTGGCCGAGGTGTTCAGATCATTGATAATCATCAACAAGATGAACTTGTAATCTTGTGCTAACTAATTCTTCCAGTGAACTATGGAAGGATGTCAGCCAACCATACTGTCGGGAACGTTTTCACTTAGTTATTTAGTAGACAGTTAGCCTATTGTAGGATTGAAAAACACAGACTGGCAAGAAATCTAGGTCAATCAGGGTTTCCTGTGGCCTAACTCTAATCAACTAATATCAGAACATAAATGAAGAAGGTACACCTTAATAATAATAATGATAAGCATTTTAATTAAGACTGAGGGGATGGTTTAAAATCAAGATAACTATCGGTCTACAGTGTTTATAGATACATTGAGCATGCTCGCCAGAAGCCATTTAACTGTTAAAACATTAGTCAATGAACTAGTAACTAAGTATTGTCCATGTATATGATTTATTCAAAACACTGAGTGTTGAGAAATGACGAGGCGGTTGATGAGTCATGCAAACTTTCAAAGATGTTTCAAATGATATATATAATGTGTGTTTTGCTTCAAGACTAATTTCACTCAAATTTTGTAGAACAACGTTTTTTTATGACTTCCGTTAATGTATTCTTTGGACGGATGACAGACCTATTTTCAGTTTTGGAATTTTCGTTAAAATCTACAGAAAGAAATGTTGATATGTCGTTTTATTTAAGTCACTAAAGTACATGAATACCGTATGTACGTGTATATAGGAGTAACTGTATTTCATGATCCATAATTCTCATGTATATCGGATGAATAAAACATGTTTTCCTTTCTTCTGAAATTCTTGTTTTCTATGACAATCTTTGTTTTATATGATACAAACGGAAATAACATTTCATTGTTAATAATAAATTTCTTCCTATTTCTAACTGAAAACAAATACAACTGAAAATATGTACATGAGTTAAGATTAAACAATGAAAAGATTATGATAGGAAGATGGTTTGTTTTTTTTTTCAAATTCTGATTGAACTAATATTTGTATGAGTTCATTTTATTTATCAAGTGAGTCAGTAGAATTACATAACAGTGAACGAATAACAGATCAAAGATAAAATCCATTGGAAACTTGAAAGTAACAATCTCCTCAGCCATTTACTATTAATCGCCATGTCCTCACTAGTTACTCATTTTTAAAGGAAATTTCTGTAGTTCTAGTGAGAATCCTTGAGCAGTTGAGTTCATCCTTGTCAGATGTGAAGAAGTTACCCACCGAGGACTATGGAAGATGGTGAATTTACAGAAGTAAGACTAGTTGAAATCCGTTCGTCATTTTAATAGAAATGAGCTGTCTATACAACCACATACTTATAACTAATATTTTGTTATAATTCTGTTTAGTAAGCAGATAACATGAAAACAATAAAATACTTTGAAATGATATAACGATTGCGATATTTAAGATTGTTCTATAATTCAGAGAAAAACTTTCAATTATCAACATTAGACTATTTATTTTTGTAGCAACTGAACCTCACTACAACTATTTCAGACATAAATTACCTGGTCATTTGATCACAAATAACGTTATGATGAATTACGTTTAGCGCTTACGGGATTTCATCATTGAAATCTGAAGTTACAAATGTAAAGTGCATCATTACCTTGGTAAACAGAGTTACGTGTAATAATCATTGAATTATACAATTAACAGGTGACAATTTCGTTAAATTTTTTTTTCAATTCAATAATCACACTTATAATATGAACCCCAGGAAAGAATATTCTTTTCACCAATTACTATTCATTAATTCCAATAATCCTCTTATAACCTAAGAAGGAAATTGTTATAAAACACTCACTCGTGTAAAGTTTCAATGTAAAGAAATCATAACAATTAATAATCAGGAAATTTGTTGAAATTTCTGTGACAAATGAAACTTTCCATCTCTGACCACAAGATCACTTACTTGAATTAATGACAAAATACTCACCAAACACCTTGGATCTGAAATCCTACAGATGATTATAATTCTTCTTGATTTCATCTACCAGTTTGGTTCACTGATAGCGTTGATATAGTCGTGTTCTCTGGAGAGGCTCATAAATCTCAGTATTTTTTCACTACCTCAAACATGAATAAAAGCATGTTTGGGTTGTGTTTCTATCCCACTAAATGTGAAATATCCCTTCAGCATAAGTCTTTGTCAACGCCTCAAATGATGTTAAGGTGGGTCGAAGTTGTTGAATGAGTTGGCTACTTCATTTATTTGATAGTGTCATTACCCTGAGTGTGTTACTGTCTGACGAAATCTAGCCACAGATTATAAGAGTTCGGTTGATGTCCACCAACTTATTATGACTTACGCGGCTGGCGAAATCCCTGTCTTCTAACTAAACTGTGTGCATGCTTGCGAGAAGTCCATTCTACAATACTTTATTGATGTGAATCACGGAAAACATGAGTAGGTTGCAGGTGTTTGACTATGTATACTCAAAGCAATACTTGCGTTTCACAGAAAACAGAGTGAACAATATTGAGGTTAAGAAGAAGTCAATAGATAAGGATGATAAACAGACTTATGGGGTAGTGCATCTTCACCGACTGCAATGTCTATGTATAGTATGTATGTTCAACTACTGCTTAACTAGACTGTTAATGATAACTGATGGTGGAGTAGATTAGATGAAAGCTAGAGGCAGCGAGGCTAAAACGTGAAATCAATTCACGTAGTCAGTGATTATTGGATTGAGCCTTTTTGGCAGGAGTAGATTACCTGATCGGTATCGGTTCAGTGACTGCAATTAGCGGTTGAAAACTTTGTGCAACTGCATTCAGGATCATTTACAATGGTTCAGGTGTATTCATTCTTTGTATTTGCTCAGATTCGAATTTTTTAAATTATCTTGAAAAATTTCTAGTCGAATTAATTTACATTTTTTTCTAAATTTATGTCTTTTATTTCTAAACTTTTTTATTGCCACAGATACTGTAGCTATCTATATCAGTTAGAAATCTCAATGTGTGAATGTGTTTTAGTAAATTGAATGGAGGCAGATATTTGTCATGTTCTATGTTGTATACGGTTACTGACAGACTCAGATGAAATTAGGAATCAAAAGAGATAAAAATAGCTTTAATTTAGTGCAACTAATAGTTCATAAAGCGTTTGAGAAATGTTACTAGGGAAAAATGTGATCAGCCAATCGGAACTCTGTATTATATATATATGCGTATATATATATATATAATTTATCCCAAAAATTTTTACTTCTCTTCTTCAATTGTTCAACATGTAAGTTTCAAACATTTACTTCAAAGCTATATCTATAATATGTGTAATTAGTTGAAATTCAACACTATACTTGTTTGAATTAATCAAATAAAGAACAGCCTACTCATTTTGTGATGATAAGTTAACACAGAAGCATTCAATGTTCTGGTATGAGACATTTATGTGTATTTATTTTGAGTGAATAAATGACTAACTAATTGTAAAATCATTATTTATGTATTCGATAACAGTAGTCGAGTTATTTCATATATCTTTGATAATTACTATTACAGGAGAATTTTTTTTTTAACTTTTAAATGGAATATGAATTTACATAGGGATCTAGGCATTTTTGTGGTTTAGGAATAAATTATAGTAGAGCATATTTAAAAAATAGGCACAGTTTATTTAGTGAATGAGCACTCCATTTACTTGTTTCTCGTTGTAAAGATTTTTTCTCTTGGCATTGTATCAGTCAGTCAGAGACACAATCCTCAATTCAAATCACATAGTGTTAGAGATAGTAGAAGTATTACTGGTAATGGAGAAGATTAGGGTTCGAAGATATTATTCAAGAAGTATGATTCAGTGAGATAAGTTTAGAAAGACAAAACTAGTGGTGTTAAAGAATCCAGAAGATTAGGATTTGAGAGAACACAAAGAGTGGATGCACCTGCACCATTGCAAACGATTTTCAGCCATGTCATTCAAGGTCTCTAACTATCGTTGACTTTCGTTTAGCGAACCCCAACCAGGTAGTCTACATCTACCAACATGACTCAGTCCACCTGTCAGTGACTTCATGGATTTCTGCCATGTTTTGGTCTGGCCGCCCCTAGCTCTCCTCCAACCTATTCCTACACTACAAAACAAAGCTCTTCGAGGCAGTCGGTGGTTAGGCATACACAACACATGTCCCAGCCACCTCAACTGGTGAAGTTTCACCACTTCATCGATTGATCTGCCATCCTTATCTAGTACTCGTTTTCTAAAGACAATTTTCTTTTAGACGATATCTATGCTAATTCATTAACTATAGAAAAACGTTATTACAAATTGTACATAAATTAATAAAATTAAAAACTGACAAATTTAATTGTTAATGTTGAGATCAGTTTATTTCTTGTACAAAATTAATCCTAGCATCCATATCAGTAGAAAAATTCAATATGTGGCAAAATCAATTCAAATAAATTAACTGTATGAGGTCGTGGAAATTGCCTAATTTCATTGATAACAATCTCCAAAACCATATACTAATCATCGTCATGTCCTCATTATGGACTAACGTTTAGAGGAAATTTCTATAGTTCTAGTGAGAATCCCTAACCGGTTGCGTTTACCCATGTCGAGTACGAAGAAGTTACCCACCGAAACCTATGAAAGATCGTGAACTTATTGAATTAAGAATCGAGGTTAAGTGTTCCCACACAAAACCAGTGATCCATTTACCTGGTTATAGATGCACACTGTTGAGGAGTTAAATACCAGCCCTAAAAGCCAATCAAGTGTTTCCAGGTTTCGATTAATTCTCTCACCTATATTAGATCGTAATTTAAACTACTTTGATTGGTTATATAGTCTGATTGAATTCATCTGCCATTTATTTTACATGTATGTTACTTTCTTTTAATTCTTGTTTGAACTATTACATTTAATCGAATAACTGTATATTAATTACCTGCTTTTTGATACCTAGATTATATTGATTATAGTGACGTAACATTTTGTAATAATGAATTCTGATGAATTTCTATCTGCTGCTCAATTATTACTACAATTTATTGTGAAGTATAGAAATGCAGCATTTGCTCGTGAATTTCCAGTATTGCCGAATAAAGAAAAAATTCAACCAAATTATCTTAAATCACTTTTGCCAAATAAAGCACCAGAGGATAAAGAAAGTTTCGATGTAATACTTCAAGATATTAAAGATAAAATTATGCCTGGAGTAAGTCAACATTGTGATGAGTAATTTTAATTTTATTGATTTATATTTTTAAGAGGTAAGAAAAACAGAACAAATTTAAAGTTATATGCAGATATGGATGGATGGATGGATGGATGGATTCTTGGATTCCACTGCTCTCCACTATCCATGTTTTGTGACCTGACAGCTAAATCAAGGCAATCCAAAAAGGATGTGCCGTCCTAACTATCAATGGGAAGTGTCAAACTATCAACACAAATGAATTAAACATGAAGTTAGTTTCTGTTAAAAACTAACAGAAACTAGTGGAGGCTTTGGCAGTAGACAGAGAACAAAAGAAGATCACTTCATTCATGTTTTCAACCTTAATTTCATTGTGGTATTTATTCATAGTAATCAGAATTCAGCAATACTAAATATCACTCTCTTTGTGCGGTTAAACTGCATCTGCCATAATTATTCACAATAAAACTTTAGGAAGTTGTTTCAAATGGTGGATGATATAACGAAGTATTTATTAGGCACCTAAATATTTTTGTGGTTCTTCAAATGACGTCAGATCACAATTCGTTTAACAGTGTCTATAAATTGTTAGTTTAAGTAAAATAAAAGCCGTCACATTTTTGATTTGTTGTGTAATTAAATATTAATGTGGTTGTCAAAAGAAAAAAGTATTCTATACTGGAATGAGATTGTGGATTTCAATGAAATCAGAAACCGATGTAAGTTAAATCACCAGTGAAAAACGGGAAGCACTAAATGACTGTTTCATCCTAGTACCAAACTCATTAAGAGTGTGAATCTACGAATCCACAATGGGGACCCAAACTCAGGACCTTCAGTTCCCGTACATGGATGCTTAACCTCTAGACTACTGAGCTGATATCCAATGGTGTCTAACTTCAATCAATCCACATGTCAGTGTGATTAGTAACCCATCAAAGATAACAAAAAATGGTTATGTAGTTTCATGGGTTTTTCGAAGTTATACAGCAAAAACTTTGGATATCAATCCACTGGTCTTGTAGTTAAGTGTTCTTGAACGAGACCATAGGTTATGGGTTCGGTTGCCGCGTGCGGGGTCGTTGGTAACCCTTATCAAGGAGTCCTACAAAATGAAGAAGTAACCGTCCAGTTCCCCAAGTTATCAACAATGACCTGATGTAGATTGGTTCTTGATTTCAATGACATTCATATTAGTTAACAGAAAAATCTCTAAACTGTGCTGCAAAGTTCCTTTTATTTGAATCTGGTATTCTTTGCAATCACTTATTAATCCACTTTCATGATGTTATTTAATTCAGTAATTAAGTACGTGGCAATTAATTTGTTCAGTTGAGGGCTTAAATGATTTGATTTCAGTCTAGTTATAACTGACAGAAATAACTATTCGTTCGTTACTTTGACATTCATTCTACACACGGATTATTTGTTCAACAACTCATAGTTCTGTCATTTCGAGGAGAAATTTTGGCATATAAATAATGGTAATTATATAATCAAGTAGTTAGTTAGTTAACTAATAATTCTGTCTTTTAAAATATATTTACTCAATATTTTGATCTCCATCATAGATTCATAATTATTAGTCTTGCAGCTATTCATCCATTCTATTAATTTTTATCAATCTAAACCGAAATTCTTTGTCAGTATTAGGTATGTACAATAGGGAACAGCTCTAGCGTAGACTAAAACAAGTTTGATCTACTCTTGGCTCGTGTCATGAGACAAAAATGTTTTATTATCAAACATTTTCGAAAATTGAATGTTAAAAAAATTCAATATCTCACGGTAATAAGATTTTCCCTACCGGTTAAAAAGGAACTCTTTTACTGATTAATTTATGGAGATCATTTGTTGCTGATTTAGGAATTTTTGAAAAAAAACTTAAACACAATACAAACAACGACAACACATTCACTGATAACAACTAACCAAACTTCCCCTTGTTAGTCAACTACAGAGGAGTTCTAGTGTTGTACTTCATTTTTAAGTAAATGCTAAAGGTGTGTGTGGTTTCACAATCAAATCTTCACAAAAAAGACTAACTAGTTCAATGAGGAAAATATTTTCAATCAGTGTCAGTTCACATGGATCATTATATTATGATTAGAATATAATGCATAACACAAGCACAAATTGAATAAGTATTTTTGATATTTTCACTTCGAATTCCAGCTAACCCATTGGCAACATCCAGATTTTCATGCTTATTATCCAACAGCTACATCGTATGCATCAATATTAGGAGATTTATTATGTTCAAGTATTGGATGTATTGGATTTTCTTGGGTAAGTTTTTAAATGATAATTTATTTGTTTGGTACCATACTACTTATATGTTTTGATCAGTAGTAAACAATTTTTTCGGCAAAAATTATTTTATACTGTAACAGTCTTCTTATTTTTATGAAAAAGTGAAGTTGTTTTTTTCGTAAAAATTGATTTCTTACCATCGCATATTTATTTGTAATTATTTATAATTAGTCTTATTTCCATGATAATTTAATTTTTATAACACAATATTGTGGTTGTGGCTTTTATCGAATTTCTCGGAAATCCGACTTTTGATAGAATTTTAATTAGTTTATAAAAGCTTATGAGTACAAACGATAATCAAACACAGTTAACTTAAATAAAATATATAATAAGTAAAAGTGCATAGAATCGAAAGAATCATAAATGTCAATGGAATCCATGGTTCATATTTCGTTTCATTGAGATAATTGACAAGGGATGCAATAAATATCAACAAAGATTGATTAAATTTCAGGAGCTACTATCAGTTATCGGTTTATTCATATCCTACTTGATGGTGATCTAAAGTTAAATGCATGTCAGTAAACGTAATATTTTGAAAATATATACTCCACATATTCAACCAAACTGTCACCTGAAGTTGTTTGACTTTAAACGTAAACTTTTGGTTGTTAACTGTCTAAATATTTATTCTATCATCTCATCTCATCTGATCCTAACTTAAAAGATAGAAGTGGAGTAGTTTAAACTGTTATCAGAAATTAAAGATTTAAAATAACTAAGTTAAAAACTAATCTTCAATATCATCTATTCACTGAGGTGGACATGTCAAACTGACTGGTCGATTGCAGAAGGCTTTATAAACATCAAATCGGAAGATTTAAACAATCAATACAAATGAATTCCAATAACTATCAGTTAGCATTCAATGTTCACTTTTATTATTAAAACAAAAAGATTTCATCAAAAATTAGCTTAGATGGTTGAAATTAATCTCAGTTGTCCAGTATGACGTAGTCCGAATGAAATACACACAAATATGGTCAATGCTAAATTATGAAATGAAGTATTTTTTTTTAATGAAAATTGCATTTGAATATGAAACTCCTGAATGCTAAGATAAACAAAATACTGATGAATCATAGTATGTATAATAATACTACTTAGTGAACATGAAAAAGTTACGAACAACCTTAACCTTTGATCAAAGTCTATTAATAGTATGAAACCTGTAACAAAATTTCTTTAAAAATAATATTTAAATACCAAATTCATAACAAGCCTAATTTAAAACTTTTATGATTGATTGTTTTAGTGTACATAAATGTAAAGAATTGTCTAGTCGTACTAAATGAGAAAACAACACATGAAAAAAATTCATTCTCTTAGTCTAATGGTACTACATAGTTTCTTTTGTAATAATGTTGCTGTAGTGTGAGCACCAATATGTTGAGCCCGAAGGGTTTGTCTTAGCTTTCGGACAAACTAATTAACCATTTCTACTCGTTATTATTAACTATTCTCTTCACCTTGTCTATTATTCGCTCATAATCTTGTTTGTTTTTATTTGAGTGCGTGTTTGTGCATGTTTACATCGTTGATCATAATTTCTGCTTAATTTTACCTACCTAGAAATAATTAGTCATGATTGTATGGAATAAATTCATCCACGAAACTGTATTGGGCTTTTAGTTGCAGCCGTCTCATAAACGAGGTCCACCCAAGAACGATATTCGGAAATACAAGGGAAGATTTATTTCAAAATATTTTCACTCATTCGTCCGAGTTGGAGCAACGCTGTTATTAGGAAACGGGTACTAGGTAAGAATGGCAGATCAATAGATGAAGTAATGAAACTTCATCAGTTGAAGTGGTTGGGACATGTGTTGCATATGCCCAACCACCGACTGCCTCGACGAGCTATGTTTTGTAGTGTAGGTTTAGGTTGGAAGAAAGTTAGGGGCGGCCAAACCAAAACATGTCAGAAATCCATGAAGTCATTGACGAGTGGACTGAGCCATGTCGGTAATTGTCGACTACCTGGTTGGGGTCCGCGAGATGATAATAATCGATGGTTAGAGACCCTGAATCACATGGCTCAAAACGGTTTGCAATGGCGCCGGCGCGTTTATTCTGTGTTTTCTCAAATCCTAATCTTCTGGATTCTTCAACACCTCTAGTTTTTTCTTTCTAAACTTTTCTCACTGAATCATACTTCTTGAACAATATCTTCTAATCCTAACCTCTCTGATTACTTCTAATACCTTTACTACCTCTTCTACTATTGGATTTGAATTGACAGTTATATCTCTGTGCTGACGTGGTATGGCAACATGAACTGATGTACTTACGTACGAAATTCTATGTTGCATCTGACTGACTGACTGACCGAGTTGGAGTCAGATCGCGGATCACTAAAGTAGTGAGCCCTACTTCGAATTTAACGCAGCCACTAAACTGTTTTATTTGAGGTAAAAATGGGATCAGAACACTCAGTCCTTATTACCTGTTTTACAATTTCATCTGTCAAGGTTTTAAATATGTCACAACAATACAAAAACTTCAGTTCTTGATTGATTTCTAAAGTCACAAGATAATCGATAACACTAAACATTCAGTTTGAAATCAATAGTCGAATGATGTCAATAATTTAATTCTGATTCTTTCTCTAAAAAGGTCAAAACACCAGTCTTCCTCCATCTCAAATAGACACTTTTAACTTTTTAATATTTTCATTAAATTTGAAATATGAATATTCTCTTCTCATCTTTAATCGTGTAAATTAACATTATTTCTGTAGTTTCTTTTTCGTGGATCGCAAATTTATCTCTTATTTTGTCAATAATTACCAACTTCTTAACTGCCATGAATGTTTGAAATGTATTATTTTCTTGTTGTGTAGAGGAGAAGAGATTCGAAGTTTTTTTTTAAATAGTTTAAAGTTTAGAAATTCACTAAGAAATTAATGTTAAAAGTGTTGTGTATTTTATTTTCAGATATCTTGTCCACCATGTACAGAATTGGAAGTGATCACATTAGATTGGTTGGTTCATGCTTTAGGATTACCAGAGAAGTTCTTGTCATCTAGCAGTATGAATGATCCATTACACAAAGGTGGTGGAGTTATCGAAGTAATTTTATCAAACTAATGAAATATTTTATTGAAAATAATTTGTTGTAACCCTAACACTTAAACTAATTCAGTTTATTCAACATTGGATATATATGATGAAAAAAAAGAAGCATATCTTAATTTAGATGCTGCCTAAGTAACTTTAAATGTATTTACTATTTGGACAACTTGATTTTGATAAAATGAAAATGTTAAAATTGATAATTTAAAGTCTGCAGTAAATTCTGTCAAGTTAGAAAGCCTAAGCATTGAGTTGCGCAGATAAATAGACTGAATAATATTGAATTTCGAACAGAAGCACATCTCAGCGGTAAAAGAAACCAAGCTGTAAAAAAAGTTTATTAACAAGTGATCAACATGAATTAACGCATGAAGTCAGTTGCTATTTAAATAGCTCAGTGTCAACGTTCCAGACTCTGAACTCGGATGACATGAAGTTGAACTATACAGGGAAATTAGTTACCTCAACATTACAGGTTCGTCTTGATGACGAAAGCCAGACAGCAAGAAATCTCTGTTCAGGATTTCTACTCGGCTGTATCTAACCATCTTGAATCTTAACACTACAAAGCTTGATTTTGATCTTTTACTTCAAAACCCTGATATTGTGAAATGTTTAATTTTCAAACTAGCGAACAGTTATTTTAATGGTTAGTTTCACGCATCAACCTAATGGATTCGAATTTGATTACAACCCAATCTTAATCCAGCAAGAACTATATATTACTTTAGACTGAAGCGCTGTCTTAATCAATGCCGATAAAAATGATTGCACTACATTATCAAAGTTCTTAAACATATACAAATATCAAAGGGAACTACCTGAAATAAAAGTTAAAGGTATAACTAAACACAAAGATTACAAGACAAAGGAATAGATATGTTGTTTAACTTTTGAAAATCTAATACGTACTTTGACTATTTATTGATAATTAAAGTTGGCGGGAAATCAGGGTCTTAAACGAACTCAAAAAGTAATGATTTATGAAATAGTAAATAAATACGTTACTAAAACTAAAAACTCACTGTTTGGTGAATGTATTAGATTTTGTTTAGGAAAATGAATTTTTAAAAATTCAACTTTACATTGTACAAATCGATGGAAGATTTGTGATTGTAAAACTATTATATTATTCGAAAATTTCCCTTTCAATCTAATTCATAGATCGTAAAATCACTGAATCATGTTTTCAGTATGGTTTATTTTAAATCATTCAGTTAGTATTTTAAAAAATCCTGCTATGAATTATTCTTAGATTATAACATGAGAGTATTAGTATAGTAGTAAACCTGAAAATATTTAAGCACTAAATGTTTTCAATTCATAAGAGATAATAATAGCATGATCAAATATCAATATTTCAGGCTGTTATATTTAATTTATACTTCTACATAGTTGGAATAATCCAAGTAGACAACTTATTCTACTGTTGGATTAATAATTTCTAATTGTAAACATCTACTTGAAGAGATGAGTTTTGTGTATGATAAATAATGAATTATTGAGACTAAAAACTAATAGTTGTCGTCCACTATTCTTGCTGCTTAAAAGAAGCATAGTGTTGACAGATCAATGATATTTCTTTGTTAACTAATGTGGTTCAGCCTAGACAGTGCTGTACCATTATCATATTAGTTGACTCGCTTATATCACAAACGTTAATATTCTTTAGTTTTGAGGATAGTAATTTAGATTTTACTTTTGGTGAATTCATCTGAAGTGAAAAGAAACTATCTGAAGTAAAATAGATTTATTGATTATGACATTAAACCAATGAATATGACTTTTATCATCGACTGACTTCAGTCAGAAAACCATTAAGAACCAAAGAGTAATGAGCAGCCATCTTGTTGTTTCTTAATTTTAATAATAACAATCATTAAAATCCTACACTCAGTAATAGTTTATTTCATCACGAATTCTTAAAGTTCTTAATCAGAAATTGTGATTTGTGGACTTCATCCGTAATAGAAATGAGATAAATATCATCCCTGGTACAAATGGATGATGGTGACTCCATGTTCAACACCGATAGAAGTTAGAAATAATGAAGTGTTCAACTTGTACTCCGATTAACTTTACGTATAATAGTTCTGCTAAATAATATGATATTACCCAGTATTATTTATTGAAAACTGATTCACTCCAGAGATGGATGCCAACCATTTCAATTATAACTTTTCTTTAGAACTTTAGGAATTACCCTAAAAGCTGATTATTACTGTGGATGCAATTAATTTTTGGTTGTAAAATTATTTTGTATATTAGTTTAGTTTGAAGTTAGTTTTCATAACAACTAAGGAATAACTTAGAGAACAAGGAAATTCTAACAATCTGTCTCATCCCAACTTTCGACTATATGTCACAGTAGATTAAGGACTGTGCCAGAGAACGAACTGAACTGAACCTACAGTAATAAACCACATCATCTTTACACCATTAAGTTGGGATCGAGTGGTTCTGTTAAAAATTGTTTATTCAGTATTTTTGTATTATATTTTTAATCATTCCTAGATCCAAAACTTTTATGCTTTATTAAACTGTATATCAATAGGTAAGTGCAAGTTTGGCATGTGCAACAATAGCACTGGGTATACGTGATCGAGTGATGAAACTAAGCATGAAAAACACTGAAATCATAAATAAGAATAAAACTGGAATCATAGTAGACCGACTGGTAGCGTATACATCAGATCAGGTAGGCGAATTTCAATTTTTTCGAGATATTAATAAGTAAAATGAATGGGCAACGAATATAAACTTTTATTAATATATCACATTTAAAATTATTGCTTGTTTCAAGGTCATTTTTTATTATGAACAGGTGTTCATTGGAGAATCATTAAAAAAAGAAGCACTGGATACCTGTTTAGTTCAAATTTAAAGCCAATTCAAAGTTAACCAACAACAACTACACAAAGATTCGAAACGATAACATTTATGTAATTCCAAAGGCATAAGCCGATAAGCATGTGTATAACTAACTTTGAAATGAATTCCTCGAATTACCATTTGAAAGTCATTAATAATGTAGTTAGCAGGATAGAGAAAGAAACGGTTACACATCGGTAAGAATTACAGTGTATCACAAAGTGATAGGAATTCAGTTATAGGACTAAATTGTTAGGGGAAATACAAACTACTTGATGAATATATTCAAAAAAATTCTGATCAGTAGTTGGGAAGCTTAGGAGGCGTGATACAATAATGTTTATTGATTTTCTTAAATAAGACCTTTTTGTAACATTTTTATTTCAGGATTTTACTTCCATTAACTGGTTTGTACATTTTGAGTCCTATTCTCTTAGACACTTCAAATATTTTCTGTTCTTCTTGTAAATTTTGACACTTTGCTCTAATGCATCTTGGCGAGTTCGGCTGATGTTTATTTATTCCTGGTTCTATATTATTTATGTCTGACTAACTAAGTAATGAGTGATATCCCACAATGTGCAGCATTTATCCAAATATGTACTTCTCACTGGAATCAAACGGGCATATGATGATATGAAACTTCGTACTTCGTTAACAAATCATAGAACGATGTTGATCAATCTGTGTTTGATGGCGTGGTAATTGTCAATCTGTCATTGTATTTAACATAATGTTTTTAGTAATTAACCGATTGTGATCCTCTTAACTTGAATCACTTTTCATACAGTTATTTTAGTAGTTTATTTTATCCTACTTATTCTTTGTCAGTAGTCTGATACATTATCTGTACACTAATTGTGACAACAATTCAGTAATGGTTCACTGTTACAATACTCTATCCATCCCACTTGTTTCTATTCTTATTTCAATGTTTCTTCATGTTCTTCAACATTTGACATTATTTTTCCCTTTCACTATTGCTTTGTCTTCCTTGTTTATGTTAATTTTTCATAACTTGCTTATTTTCAAAGTATGAAACTAAATATTTTATCATTCTTCATTGATACTACAATATAACAGGGTTGAATAACATTTGTTATTCTACAGTAGTCAGCTTTCAGTTTTACCTTCATTCACTTCATAAAAGAATGATCTTTATTCCAGATCTTATGCATAATTCATTCATGGATTAACACTATCACATAGATTTTATAAATTGTGAATGTAACAATTCCACAGAAAGTTCGGATAAATTTAGCAATTTTATTAAAATATTCATCTTGAACAATAATAGCTATTTGATTAGTGGGTTTAAGTTTTTAAACTTATTTATCTGAAAAATACATTGGTTTTTTTTATTGAACTTTTTAATTTTCAATGTATACTCACCTATTGTTCATATTAGGCGCACAGTTCTGTCACTCGTGCATTCCATCTGGCTATGTTGAAATGTCATATGATTCAAACAAGAAGGATTGGAAAAAAATTGATTTTTGATTCAAGCGATCTACAAGAAGCAATTGAAAATGATAAAATCCAAGGTTTAATTCCAGTGATGGTAAGATCAATAAGTATAGGAAATATTTCTATTACTTAATCGAAACCATATTTGTGAATAACACAATAAGTCGAATAAATTTCATTGTGTTCTCCATATCAAACAACATCTACGCTAACAGGTTGAAATTTATAATAATTGCAATAATAAATAATATAACTCTTAGAATTAAATACTGTTTCTGTTACGGTATACTGCAATAACAGAGTAACAAGGCCGAACTAGACGACCGAGTGTACAATACCAGCGGGTCGGAAACCCGAACGCCACACCATGCAGAGACTGGTATTTATCTACTCATATTTTCTTTATTCAGGATGGCATTGCGGTAACAAAACCACTTTTTGGCCAATTTAATTAGATACTTTAAATTATGCAACTATACACTTGATCCAAGTTTCAATTTGTTAACTTATAAACTTGCTTCATTTTCAATCAATTAAGATTGTAAATGATACGAAATTTTTCTCCAAAAAATTTCTAGAGTCATTTACTCGGTTTGGACTGTTTCATATAAGACAAGAGCATAGAGATGAACTTGGATGACACCTGAAATGACTTGGAAAATATTTGTTTTTTTTCAAATCAGTCAGAAAACAAGCATTGTAGAATTAGGAAAGTCTGAAGTGAGGAAATTCATCAATATAATTTTAAAGCTAATCAGTTACCATTTCTGATTTCAAAGTCCTTCCAGTGTGACACCGTTGCTTCCTAATGAACGTCTTATCGACTTCTACAATTCCACCTCTCCATCCTATAGATGGTGTTGTAACTGTCAGCATTGATGAGAATATTTCCTTACAATAATGACAAGTTTTCAGGTTCATAATTCGATTCATAAGTGGTTACTCATGTTTGTATGACACAGTTTAGAAATGGGAGAATCAGTTGTTTGAAAATTTTTTCCAAACGAGTGACTAAGAATTCATCTCTTATAAAGTTCTCAATTCAACATATTTAGCACCGAAGTATAGCATTTCTATATTTACACAACCATTCCACCGAACTTTTAATCCTTAACTTAATAGTTCTCTGAAACAGTTTTTGTCTTATTAGTTCGCTATTATCATATTTTTGTTGAAACTAAAGAGCTATAAAATTAATCATCAATATTCTCCAGTGAATTATGCACTATGATCTTAAAACTGTATATTGAGTCCTAATTGATTCAGTGTTTTTACTTTAGTTTTGATCTTAGTAGAAATAGAATTATTTAATATTGAGAAAAAAAGTGGAACATTAGACTTCAGTCGAACATTTCATTGTTCACCATGAAATCCAAATACCTTCTAATTTCATCGTATTTAGGATCATGGCCATTCAATGTTGACTTGGTCCAATGATACTTGAATGATCTTTGCATAACTTTTTAGTCAATATTAACAATATAAATTAGGTTTTTAAAGATTCACTAATTATAATAACATCAAATTTCTAAAATCAACATGAACTTTGAAAATATTGTCTAGTTCAGTCAGTTGAATGCGTTCTGTAAGAGAGTCTAACACTTAGATGAACCAGCCGTTGATTGCATCGAGGTTTTTAGTAGTGATGATTTAAACCTCAGAAAATTCAATTACATTGTTTGTTTCTATGAATAAGTGTGATAATTTTTTCTATGCCAAATCTTTCTTCTAATTAATTGTATAATTAATTTTGTTTGTTAATCAATAAAGTGTGTAGCAACAATGGGCACAACATCAACATGTGAATTTGAAAATCTTTATGAAATTGGTCAAATTTGTAAGTGATACTTTCTTTCTTGCGTTTTTTTATTCATTAATTCATGAACTGATATGATCATGATAATGTCAGTCAGATCATTTGTTTATTGATAATGTTGAATTATTATTATTGTGTTCATTTATGAACTGATTACACTTTTGAACATAAAACTAATTAAGTAGATGGAGTTTGGTTAATATATTAGAATGTCAAACTTACCTTTCGACTTATTTGCAACTCGTCATGTGATATCTCTTACATCCCATAGTTGATGTGTTCAAGTGGTAACTTTCACTTTAAAAGCTATTTTGAGAAACCAGATACGATCTATTCTGTATAAAGTGAGGCGATAATGGGTACACTGAAGGATACACGCATACCAACTAAGAGTGATCAAAATTCTGTCAAAATGTTAACAGTGAGATATTCTAAATCCATTACAAATTAAAATTAACATTATTTGACTCTGACACATTGACTTAAGATTATTACTATGTATGGCTGAATTAATCACATATAAAACTTGGCAAAGCCTCTAGTATGTGCTATTGAAAAGTCCTAAAACATTGAACACAATGCAATCTAGTTAGCGACTCTTTAAGTGACCTTGTGAATTCAATTTATTGCCAATGAAGGTAACATAAACAAATAAATTCTTGCAAAAAAAGTACCCCGAAGAATATTAGCTAGAATTTGTATATAAATTTCAAGAAGTCTCAATTTTTCTTTCGAAAAATGCATAAATCGCCGTTCTTGTCTTTTTTTTATTTATCTCAACCGTTAACCATCATTGTGTTTAGAATTTAATACAAAAAATGTAGTAACTGCATTCTTAATTCTGATTAGTTCGTCAGTAAAATATAATTTTACAGTCTCACCTTGGAGCGAACGATCTATTCAGTGCTTTTTGATTTAAAATAATGCCGAGCTGTCATTAATCCATGGCAAGAATTATTTCTACAGGTATAATAATATTAACAATGATAATAATTATCATTATAAGAAATCAGTTACTAATTTTCCTGTTTGAATTTCGAGTAGCAGTAGACGGATTTTTTATTTAACTTGAAACTCATCAACTGAGTCCGCCTGGATCTCAGTGTTGTTATTCATAATAGAACTTAAAAACTCAGTAACTATTACTTCTTATATAAACGTTTTCTGAATCTTAGACTGTTGTCCACTAATGAATTATAGATTATGATTATGACGATCTTTTAAAAATTGCTTAGGTAACAAATTCAATATTTGGTTTCATGTCGATGCAGCATATGCTGGAAGTGCATTACTTTGTCCTGAATTTCGTTATTTCGGAAAAGGTATTGAAGTAAGTTTAATGTGTCACTTTTCATGCTTTATGAAGTGCTTAATTCCATACTAGATTTTAATAGTATAAGTATTTCTCTCTTGTGATTATCGTCCAAAAATGTAGCTGATAATACAGATGGTGATGAAGATTGGTAGCTCAGGCAAAACTTCGCTCTCTGAATTCAATGGTTTAATCACATGGCTTTCATTGTTCTTCTGAACAGTATCATCAGCTCAAAATTTAGTTACAAGTGAATTATTCTGTATTATCTGTATATGATTAACACCCGGCCTGTCGACCTCGATCTTGGTTGATTATTAGGGACCTTTAATTTAATCTGTTCTTTGTTTTGAATATGTCTCCCCTTTGATCCGATTCCTAGTCTTATATTTCTCCATGGTTTTCCCGATTAATTGATAAACTGGGTTGATTACGATGTGTTTATTGACTAAAGGTTGACCAGAGTGTTGAAAAATTCTCTGTTGTTCTGTCTACCCAGTATTTGAACATTATTCTAGTCGGATGTGTCTGAAGATGTCCAAATGCATTACTGTGCGCTAAGATATGTCGTGGCATGTGAATGCCAAGAGATGTTCCTGCAGATGAATATGAAGAGAGCGTTCAGTTTGTTCGATGTAGTGCTATTCGAAAGTGAAACAATTTATTTTGTATATGACATTCGGCTTTTCTGTGTTCATTACGCTTTTCGGTTAGCATGAGTCGACTACAGTGATTTTTCTTGCTTATGTACTATGCAACTGCTCATGATGTTGTTCAGGGGAACTGTTACGCATGCATGTAAATATGTCATTTGATATGCTTGAATTATTTCGAGTTTACCATACACGGAAAACTAGGGGGAGGATCGAGGATTCGGTGACAAGACATGCTACTCTAAACTCCAAACTCCATATTAAGTAAAATAAGAAGACTTGATATGAAGTAGAACCTGTATTCTACAAGCATCCATAAAGTACGAGGTCCGAGTCCAGAGGAGAATCAGGATCCCATACTAGGGACCCGGGTCCTGGTCATGAAACATTACAAATAATGCGTATTTATACATTTAGGTCCTATAGGAAACAGCATCGAAGTCTGTGACATAGACAGTTAAAACGACCAACAGGAAAAACATTTGAAGTGAGATTGAAATTCAGAACGACCAAGAAGAAACAACATTGAAATACGTGACACTGATAGCTAGGACGATCATACTAATGACAAGTAGGAATTGACCACCAGGAATTTACCAATAATTCTCTTAGGATATTGGATGAATATCCTAACACCTCCCTCTGAAGAAATTGAAGCGTCAAACGACGGTTTATTTTGATCTGGACTGTTATTTGCCGCTGTCGGGGAGGACACTTTTGGAACCGCGGTGAGGACCAGTCTTGGGTACTTCTGAGCAGGTTGGCTTCTTCTCATATGCTTAATGGAACGTCTAACAAAGTTAGTTGTTCGAACCAATCTAACCTAGTAATTTTAGATCGGCAGTCGGACTGAGCTGGAGTGAGGTGGACTAGGTATAGCAGGGGATGCAGCTACTTTGGTAATCTCCACAGCTAAGCCTTCCAGCTCACAGATCAAAACTCCACCTAAATGGTTGTTGTTGAATTGTTTTTAAAAGTTTATCTAATATTTTGATAGAACCGTGAGAAGACGTAATTGATCTGAAAAATGTGATGTGTTTGCGCTATACATTTAGAAAAATCTAGTCACACATATTTACTTGTCAAGGCATTTTATTTGAAACTTAATAAAAGGTCAATTAAATAAAAGTTCAAATAGACATAAGGTGATAATTGTATATGAGGGAGAGAGAATAGCCAAGGCCTCCATAAACCTCAAAATTCCTCCTTCAACATTTCTATACAATGATTTGAAGGCTGTCTTGATATCAATCTTATACCCTGTCTCAATTATGTGTTCTGCGGTCGGTGAACATGGTTTTCTATTTCCAACGCTAATCGACTCATCTGACGTTAACTAATTTTGAAGCCACTTAGGTATATGTTCCATAACCCTTGATTGCAAAGTCCGATTACTCCTCCCTATGTATGTGTGTCCACACAAACATGTAAATTAATAAATGCAATGGGAAGTGATGTAATCATTCGAGCAACGTTTAAGTCTATGTGAAATCACGGGTTTAATTTTTTCAATGATAATCAGTCTAGCTGCGTTGTATGTTTTCTCTATGGCTACTTTTAGTCTCTGTCTTAAGATTAGACCATTTGCTTCGCCTCTAAATGTTAAAGTTATTTAAACCTTTTTTTCTCGGCAGAATGAAAAACTGGCTTTTGTCATAACTGATTTCTACACCTATTGATGAACTTTAGCAGAGAGCCGTTTGAAATCAGTGCTTCAGTTAATAATTTTTCATCGTCTTCAAATGTATCTGTGGTGCAAAGCCTTCGAGCCCCCTACAAAACCTCGCTTATTTGCAGTGGACAAAAACTGCTGAAATTTAGATACTGTTCAGTCCAGGTTGGTTTTCTATAAACAGAACGCTTTATACTCCCATTCTCCCTTCGACTCAACAGTATCTCTAAAAAGGGCAGTCGGTTATTATTTTCTGGTTCATGGGTTAGTACAATGTCATTCTGAAGACTATTGAAGTTGTCCAGTAACTGATAGACGTTGAGTTCTTTATCACATACAATGAAAATATCATCCATATATCTCCTATACAGAGTAAACGTATTGATATGCTCATTCCACAAATTTCCAGCATATGCCATATACACATCAGCTAAGAGAGGTCCCGAAGCACCACTACCCATAGCAACGTCATCAACTTGCTGGAAATGCTCATCATCAAATGTGAAATGAACTTTCTCAGTACATAATAAAATTAATTCTCTCAATAGAGTTGAGTGAATGGGAAAAAGAGGGAAATTACTTAATAAATAGTCACAAAGAAAGTTAACATCAAGACAGCCTTCAAAAAACATTGTATATAAGTGTTGAAGGACGAATTTTGAGGTTTTATAGAGGCCTTGGCTATTCGAAAATTAAAACCTCCCTTATGTGTGCAGAAACAATTTGTCATAACCTTGAATTTAACCTGGTAATCTTCAAGTCTAGGGTAATGTGTGACAATTTTCCTACCCTTTCTTATCCTTAATATATATTGCGTGAACTTTCTCTCTCCTTTACTTACAATCATCACCTTAAGTCTATTTGAACTGTTATTTAATTGACCTTTTATTAAGTTTCATATAAAATGCCTTGACAAGTAAATATGTGTGACTAGATTGTTCTAAATGTATAGCGCAAATACATTAGAATATTTTTCTGATCAATTACGTCTTCTCAATGTTCTATCAAAATTTATAAAAGGGACTAATTGTTTTAAATTATCTACTATTCTCATAAACCTAAAGTAAAAGAATGGAGAAAGTTTGAAAAAAACTTAAATACTGCGTTTAAGTTAACATCGTCATTTCTGATTGATTTTCGTCAACTAAAGAAACATATCAATCTGAAGCATTCTTTCCTTGATTTTCTAGTTTTGTATCCCTCAAAAATCTTCTGTTCTTCGATTTCAAAAAAAAAATTATGGAAAGAGCATAATGAAAGCGAAGATTTACTCCCATTATTCGTTTGTTCAAAGAATATAAGGATATTAATATTACTAAATGTGCTCATCATATGACTGAATCGTATTCAAATCATGCTAAACTCGCTAATAAAACGAATGATGATTCAGTCAGGATGTAGTGAAGGAGAACACAGGTATTTGTCGCAAATTACAGAGTTACTCAGTAAAATAGGAAAACCATATCGTAACCGTTAATTTGCAAATCTTCAATCCATCATCAATCCATTGTCTGACATTTCACTATTCATGCGTTTCATAAAAATTCCATTGTGTTCCCACTCTTTCTTTCTTGATCTTCCCCCATCTTCTGCTGCCAGACATTACGTTTACACTCGCGTCACATACTACTTATAAGTAGCGCGCACCACAAGGATGATGAAAACACCGTCAGTCGTCATATGGACTTCTCTTGAATGTTCCTAAAGAAAACTGACTGGTTGAGGTTTAGTTTGCATTTGCCTAGTCTCTGAACCCTTCTGTGTTCCTAAAACAATTTATGACAATCTTAAAACTAAATCACTCAAATAAACTATAGATCCGAGTTGATTTGTTCGGAACAATTAGGTTACACTTTAAAAAATAAAGTTTATCATTATTTACTTTCGTTGATAGGCTAATCGAGATCTAAATACTCAAATCGTCTGTAGAATTCGTTGTTAGCCTATTAACTATTCAACGTTCACCAATTGCATTCTTTTACTTCTAATGCCTTAAGTAGTATATTCACTTACACTTTTAGCATATTTTTTACACAGTTGATTATTATTGTAAATTTACAAACTTTCTAAGCTTTTTAATCTGTTTAGGACTCGTCAGTTGGAGCAGTGCACACATGATACACCTCAACGAACAAAGAAACACGATGGCCAAACTTGAGTTTCTAATAACCAAAAATAGGATAATTCTAATATCTTTCCTAATAATATAAGAAATTTCTGTCAAAAAATGTGCACGCTGTATACTATTGTTGATTGATGGAAGATAATAATAATAATATCATGAACTGACTAAAATTTGAAATTCAGAAACTATTCAAAGTCAGTTCACTAGTTCACAGTTTAAGCATTTTCCATGGGACTCATGAATTATTGGATTCAGTCTGTGTTGGAGTTATGCTTGTGCATAAGAGTTCTATAAAACAACTGTTCAGCGTTTTCTAGCTTTGAATACATATCGAACTAAATTCATTGCTTAACAACACAATTTCACTCTTTGAAAAATAATTCTTTTTACTTGTATAGTGTTGGAGATGTTAGATCCCCAGAACTCGCTTGTTAAATGCTTTATTTTGGATGTCACGTTTGCCAGCATGGGCTGATCAGTTGACCTTGAGATTTCATTTCCCACCAGGAAAATCCATGGCTGTGATCGGTTGCTGTGTATTTTAGTGTGCGATTTTCGTAACTGTCCCAAGGACGTTTCTAGGATGTATAAATAAACGAGAGTTGTGTGCTTGATGGTATTGTGTGATTGCTGGGTGTTTGTAGAATATACTTTCTATGCTTATCAAGACTTCTGTTTTGCAGTTTGGGATTCAGGGTAGCCTATCTGGACGCTGGTAATCGTCTCGTTCGCGTTTATCGACTAAGGTGAACTCGTGATAGCTTCAAGCGTACCTAGTGACGAACATATCATATAGTTTACATATTTTTTAAAGTATCAATGAATTTATAATAAATTGAATATTATGAAATAAAATTAGCGGATTAATCCCATGTAATAATCATGATTTACTAGAAAATAATATAATTTACTGTATCCACCTTGTTTACTTTCGGTAATCTCTTATAGCTAGCTAACTCAATCAATATCAATGCGCATAAATTATTACTAGTAAATTTTGATTGTTCACTACTTTGGTTAAGTGATCACACTGTGATATCGAATGCATTCGAAGTGAATCCACTTTATTTACATCATACATTTGAAGGAATGCCAGAATATCGTGTAAGTTGTTTTAATAATTTTTGTCTATGCATTCTAGGGAGAATTAAAAATATCGATGCTTTACAGACAGACAGTACAATGTGCTGATTGATTTGTGCTCCATCTGTACAGTAGAGTTGATACCTTCTGTTAACTCAACATATTTAAGTAATATTGGCCTACTCTATACATAGGGAAATCATCAAAATGCAATTAGTCATAACTGTACCCTTTTTGACATAGTTAGATTCCATTAGTTATCATTTCTAACTGAAACTTCACAAATTATTCTCGAAATCAGTCACTAGTGAGAATAGATTTAAGTTGTAATTGTAAAACTATTGAATTGTAACTCATCTGAAGGAAGACAGCATACTTATTGGTTTGACTAATAGTAGAGTTTAGACACACAGTGATAAGGGACCCGACTTCTGGATGGAAGGTCAAAATCGAATGAATAAAGTACCTTGACCTACAATGGGGTCGCTTCATTCCTAGTTCCAATTATCTCTCTTCCCCTCTCATTGGGATTAATGCTCTTTTCCGAGATATTCTTCTCTTTTCCTTGGCGATACATTCTTCTTCCTTTTCTTAGACAAATTCATCGTCTTCACTACTATGATTAAACTCGCCAAAACATTTCCTATTTTGTATTACCTATATTTTTATATACGATTTTAATATATTGATTAGAACGGATTACTCTAATTAAGGCACAGAATTCTTTCTTACGCTTTCATATATAAACTTTTCCGAACATTACCAGTGGTGTTAATATTTTTCTAATGGTATTTGTAGCACCTCGTACTCAATCTATACGAAATACACCATTTTAGATTTCTTACATGAATGAATTCTACTTTACCGTTTCTTTTGTTGTGATAAAATATTGATAATTTTAGACTTATAGCTATAGAGACTGATGAAGAACTTATTAGAAACTATCTTTCCATCAAATAATCTTAGTGTATGAATACTGGTAATATAACGAATAAAGTTGTAATTAGACATGTAGTGGTCAGATCAAATCGCGATGGCCTATTTCAATCTTTCATATTCATTTAAGCAGGACAATTACAAATATGATGAAATGTTTATTATGTTTAAAGCGTATATGGGGTAGACAATTTTATATATATATATATATATATGTGCCTGGAATTTTGGTTTTACAGAACTGGAGTATATCACTCGGTAGACGGTTTCGAGCTTTAAAACTGTGGTTTGTTTTACGATTATATGGACTTGAAAATATTCGTCGTCTGCTTCGATTAGTAAGTTGACAAAATGTTCGACCAATTTAGTGAGTTAATTATTTATTATTTAATAAATTTACTGAAATAAAAATGTTAACTAGATGAAATTTTTTTCTTTTAACAAATTGATTTTATTGAATGAACTGGCAGTTAAAAATGGCGAACTATCCAAATTCATTATTGACTGGATTAGCGGCATCCGTATTTGGTAAACTTATTCCTAGTAAAAATTAAAGATTTCAGATTAGATTTTGTGGAAAGCTATCGATATCATAATTTTAAGAAATGAAGTACGTTATTTTTACGATTTAATAAAACTATCAATGTGATTTTACAGAGAGAAATATTGAATATTGATCGATTCCTAAAATATTACATTCTCTCTTTATTGAATTACAATAAACGGTAGTTCTCATATAAATGAAATATAATAATACTTATATAATACTTATATATTTTGTATATAATGTTTATCTTCACTTTCCTAATATATATTGAGTTAGTGAATCGGCAGTTCTTTAATTTAAGATCTTTACAGCATGGATTTAAAGATCAAGTTAACAGTTTTTGGTTACACTAATCATTCAAGTCACTTTTATTAAAAAGTTGACTTGTAATGATAGTTTTACTTTGTAATAGTTATATTTAATCGTTTCATAAACTATAACTCCTCAATATATTACTGATATGCTGTAAACATTTGACTAAGCTGCATGTGCTTCTCTTTCAAACTACTGATTATCAGGAAAAAAATCTTCAACATATATATATACATATATATATATATATATATATATATATATATATATATATGTTTCAGCATTTTGATCTGGCCAAGAAGTTTGAACATCTATTAATAACAGATGGTCGTTTTGAAATTGTCAATGATGTGCGATTCGGATTGGTGTGTTTTCGACTAATGGTGAGTATACAGATGTATAAAAGAATAAATTTTTTTCATCACGCTTAAAATAGTTTGCAATTAACAATAGATCTACTATTGGTTACTATACATGATCATAAAATCTACTTGTAGATAAATTACAGCTGTCAAGATTATGACTTCAGTGAAGATAACAGTCTAGTAGTATTAACTTCTTAACAGTGCTAATCAAACCTGTTGTCGTCCGAATGTGTTATGGACTGTAGTTACTTTTTAGCTGTTGGTTGAATTATGAGTGTAAGGTGTGAATTGATACTTCAACTCAATGTGTTCGATTAAAATTGTCTATAGGCGGTTGCAGAGATGGAGAGATCAAATAAATAATGAATATATGATGGCCTCAGTCAATGACTGCGGGGGGAAAGTGGATTTGTAGTTGAAATTTTCAACTTTCTATAGATCATAGGTTTGAAATCTCATGCAATCAATTCAGTTTGAAAAAAGTGGGTGGTATCATCAACCCTTAAAACAAAAACGAACATTAGGTTAAAGCCAGGTATATAAAATTATACTTGACTGCCGAGTTCCCTGGAAGAACTTATAAGTTGAAGATAATTTCTGCTAATTTTTGACTATCGTAATGATAGGTGGTTTTCGACAGAGATTGAAAATATCAAGATTACTGATAATAACTAGAGAATGCTGGATATCTACACTTCTCACACCGTTAGTTATTGAGCCGATGACTTTCGGCTCTCATGTAACTTTTGGAACACTCACTTGGTAAAGAACTACTTGCATTTTCAACTTCAGAAAATTCATGATGTAGCGTGATCATCTGTGAATGATTAGTATCATGATTCTGTAAAATACCTATAAATTAAACGAATCTTTCGACCAACATATAATATTGACAAACGTTATTTATTCATGATATTACATGATATTATTCAATCAATTTATGATGTCAGCTAGTGGTGTTGTGGTGGTCAATTTCAACGTGTTCTTAAGCTTCGTAATCCGCTCGTCTAGGCAATCATCACCAAATAGGGCCTGACAGTTACAAACCAGAAGGCAAATATGAAGTATTGAATTCGTTTATTTTTAGCACACCACAAAATGGGACAGCAAACCGCAGGTAAACAGGGCAGGCACACTAGCGACCAAATTGGTGAATGTGCGAACAGATCAATAAGATTAAAATGTTCATATATATATACATAGTAAGATGTCTGAGTCATTGAGATATTTAAGGTTAATATTAAAGCGAATAGGATGAGTATGCGCGTAGGCATAAGCAATGTCCAGTCATACGAGCTCATACAAACCAGACAATATTAAAACCAATGGTACATATAAGTTGTTGATAGACAAGTGGCTTGGTTAAATAAGTTAATCAAAAAGGCTTAATCAAATTAAATATGAGAGAACTCAAGTGTATGTGGAGGCACTACAGCGTTAGATCAATGAATCTGAACAGTCTCCACATTTATATCTTGTTAAATGTTTAAATTATTCAAATATTTAATATTTGTTTCTATCCTCTTCTCCATTTAAACAGAATAATAATGAATTAACAAAGAGATTGCATGACGATTTATTGAATAAAGGTGAAGTATATCTTGTTTTAAGTTCATTTCATGAGGACAAACATCAAGAATTTGATCAAGCGAATACCAATAAGATACATCAAACAACAACAACAGCAACACGAACAACAACCGTATTTCTGCGATTCGTATCAATACACGGTACAACAATGGAAGATATTGATTATGCTTATAGGAAAATTGCTTTATGTGCTACAGAGATTCTTGATAAATTTAATAAATTACCCATCGAACTAATATGAATAGATTCACTGATAAATTGAAAGAGAAATCGATAATATACTATTCAATGTGTACAGTGGTTTCATTTATTTTGTTCATGAAAATTGAAATTGTCAAGTTTTATTTAACTAGAAAATAATTTTCATGATGAATGATAAATATCAGCTGCAAAGTTCATGAAGACTCATGAATTTCAGTTTTCATTGGTTGACACAATAATGTAATGGGTAATTACACATTTGAAATCGTCAATCAACCATTTTAGACCACCATTAGAAACGTGGAAGAACTGGATGGACGTTTCTTCCTGGTATGGGACTCATCAGCAATGCGCATCCACGACTCCTGCTCCTCGCAGGACTCAAACCCGGGACCTTCGGTATTGTGTGCGAACGCCTAACCATAGGACCACTGGGTCGGCATCCAACGGTGTTAATGTCTAACTCTGATTGATCTAGGGATTTTGCGCTACCTCACCCATTTGTCTTTGGTAGTTACTGCCTACACCCGACAGGGTTATGGGTAATAACAAAGAATGTTAGTTAAATATCAAAACATACTTTTCCATCTCACATAGTTTCATTTATGCTAACTCACTACATTTTAAGATGTAGAATATAATCAAGTTCACATTTTTTAATAGGTTTTCCCTAAGAGAGTTAAAAAAAGTACCAACATTTTAAAATTAACGTAAATCAAAAAACAGCGTACAAGTCTCTATGGTTTTCGTATGTTAATATTGACAACTAATAGTTGAGACATTAGGATGGTATGAAAATACTTTCACTGAAATTTGTGCTTATTTTAGCTTATATTATCATTGATTCAATGTAAATTTAACAATCCTTTTAAGATTTAATATTTGTCTACGCTTCATGAATGTTCACAAGGAATAAAACAAACGAATGATGTTTTCTAAGATTGATTATAAGTGGAATTATATTGACAAGCTTACTCTCATTTTATAATTTTTAACAAGTAAATGTAACAGAACCTCATTATCTATATCCAGAATAAAGAGAAACTTTAAAAATTGGTTTATAGCCTATATAGTAGTTCCTGAGCGGTGATTAATATATTCTGAATCTTTGTGACCTTTTCAATAGTACGAGTTTTATTTTATAATGTCAGTAGAGAATTCTTTTTCCATAATTTCCAAGTCTGTTTCTATGAATACAGTTGTTGGGAAAGTGAGATCCCCAGAACTCACTTGGAATAGGTCCTAATTCCGAATTTTTTGTGTTTTCGCACATAAGCTGCTCAGTTGACCTTGAGATCGCATTTCTTTTTCGGAAAATCCTTGACTGCCATTGGCTGACGGATTATTTTAGTACACAATTTTTGTGGCTCTCCCAAGGACGTTGCTATCATGTATGAATAAGCTCGATTCGTATGCTTGTGAACCTCAAATTTTCTGGGTACTTGTTGAACACACATCTACGCCTTATCAAGACTTCTTCCTTCAGTTAGCTGGGGCTGGGACAAACGGATTAGAATAGCCTATCGTCTCATTGAATCATTTATCTGCGCTCTGTTTACCGAGTAAGGTGAACTCGTAAAAATTTCAAGCATATCAACTGACGAGCATATCAACAGTATCGTCTCTAAAACTTGTATTTATAGCCTATAAACCTGAGCTGTAGTTTTCGCTAATCGAAAGGTTTTTCTTCACTCAAAATGTTACTAACTAAGACAGGAAATTTAGTTACGTTAATTTCTTCTTACTAAACATTATAATTCAACAAGTTAATGAGGTATTATTTAAGTTTTAAATTTTTTCTACTGTAAATTTCATTCCCTTCATCAGATTTTATTAAATGTAGGTAGAAAAAAAATGAAATTAACTTTTAATATAACAGTCTTAATTATTTTGTGAGTACATTTTTAAATGTTAGATATGATAGATAATATTTGGCACAAAACTTGTTATTAAGAAAACATGATTGTTTTGTCAATTTTTGTAAAGAAAACTAATTACTTATAAACGATTTTCCATGTCAAACTACAGTTGGAAATGTTCAAAAACTGTAAACGAAACTCAATAGCTAATCAATAAAACGAGTAAAATTTCACCTGTGTACTAACTAGATATTTGAATATTTATTAATTTGACAAAAGATATGCCACATAGAGCAACTAGAACAACGATATATCCACCTTACAGTCAAAGTATTCGTTTTAAATCGATCAAAAAATATTGTATATAATATTCTGTCTGAAGTTTTCTAAGATTACTCTTTGTTCCAAGCTCGATCAGTGTAGAAAGTTTTAACACAGAGTTAGCAACATTATCTTGTAGAACAGAATCCCTACACAGAGATCTTTACCGAAGAAAAAAAATCATTTAAATTCTGACAGTTATAATGCTTCATGATAAAAGTCAAAATTCAACTTACCCTAGAACTGAAAACACATTTATTTTTCGGTAAGTGACAGATTTTCCTTTTTTTTTGATTAGCTGAATAATACAATCAACAATCATTTAGAGATGAATAGAAACGAACAATTTCAAACTAAATGACAGTGAAAAAACATGTTGAGTGTTTACGAAATTGAAGTCAACTGAACAAATAATTAAGACAACGAAATAATGGCATGTTTTGAAGGTTTACCGTTTGTTTACTAAAGTAACACTTGGTAGACTGTTACAAAATTTTTTATCTCTCGGTGTGCACATGTAATCATTTGACTGTTCATCTATCTCATTGGATTATTATAAAAAAAAATACACTGAATACAATTAAAATTGAAATTAGTTTACTAGTTGGAATAAAATAATTTTTTCCTGTTATCATTTAAATCTGTCACGTAGTTTAACAAAGAAAATAGAGCATATGGTCATAAATAAAACAAAAAAGTCTCCTAAATGTTAATGAACCTGACTTGTTACAATAATCAAAGAAGTAAATCATACAATTCACTTTTTGTTAACATCTTACGTTTCAAGAAGAAATCTTCAAAGGCCCTGGAGGACTTTAGAACCTTTACATATCTACGCAACATCACTGAGAATCAAAGTGGATCTGATGCAGATGTAAAGGTACGAATCGGCAAAGCAAGGGCTGCATTTTTACCACTGAAAATTAGCTGGAACTCAAAACAACTATCAACCAACACCAAAGTCACGACTTTCCAAACAAATGTCAAGACAGTTCTTCTGTATGGGGCACAAACTTGGAGATCTACAAAAGACATCATCCTCAAGATACAAGTATTTATGAACAGTTGTCTACACAAAATACTTCACATCTGTTGGCCAGAAACCATCAACAACAACCTACTGTGGCCTAGAAAAAATCAGATTCCAGTGGAGGAGGAAATCAGGAAGAATCGGTGGAAGCGGATAGGACACACTGCGAAAGGCACCGAACTGCGTCACAAGACAAGCCCTCACATGGAACCCTCAAGGTCAGAGGAAAAGAGGAATTCCAAGGAACACATTACGCCGAATAACGGAAACAGATATGAGAAGAATGAACAAAAATCGGGCAGAAGTGTAAAAGGAAGTCCAGGACAGAATAGGTTGAAGAATTCTCTGGCGGACGGCTTATGTTCTCTTGGGGGTAACAGGAGTAAGTAAGTAAGTTAGTTAGAGGTCAAAAGAAGAGTGAGAGAAGAAAGATCGTAATCAGGTTGCCTTTTGGCTTCGATTGGAAATCGTGCATCAAATGCGAATGCACGACTAGGTGTTTTTATTTCATTAATAATCTGTATTTTCATCATATTTACATTTCATCTGAACTTGTCGTGTTCTTACATCAGGATTATCGGATTTCTGGAGTTTACTAAAATCAAAAATGCATAGGGTGTGCATAATTTCCGCTGCTTCCATGCGCGTAACCTATTTCCCCGGTTTAATACTTAACTTATTCGGTTTGACCTTCATGAGTTTAAAATCACGGTGTTTGGAGAGTTTTTGATTTGCTAAATACTAGTAGAATAAAAATCGCGGTGTTTCATTTGATGACTGTTTACTGGTTGATAAAGAATCAGACAATATACAGTTGAATGGTGAATGAAAAAATGAGTTTTATACCTTCGATGGCAAATCACTCATCTCATATATGAACAGTGATGAATAGATTAATTGATAAATATTTTGTTAGTAAAACAAGTTGCCGTCCATCTGTTTATTTAGGGAACAATACATTCCATATTGTTTTATGCACGTTACTTATCACTTATATTTGAAAATCAGGAACCACTACATCATCATCAAGAGCAAAGTAGAACTTTGCAAATAAATACAACAGTTCAAGTTTCCATATCACATTAGCACAGAGATATAATTTTCAGTTCAAATCCCATAGTAGTAGAGGAAGTAAAAGTATTGGAAGTAATCGGAGAGATCAGAGTTCAAAGATGTTATTTAAGAATTCTAATTCAGTGAGGTAAATTTAGAAAGAGAAAGATAGAGGTGATGAGGAATTCAGAAGGTTAGAATTTCATTGAACACAGAGAGTAAATGCTCCTGTGTCATTGCAAACAGTTTTGAGCCATGTCAATCAGGGTCTCTAACCATCTAATATTATCATTTCGTGGACCCCAACCAGATAGTCGACACCTACCAACATGGCTCAGTCCACTTGTTAGTGACTTCATGGATTTCCGCCATGTTGGAACCACTACAACTGTTTTGATAATTAATGTAGGTGGTCTGTGTCAATGATTGGGTCTCCTCATGTTGAACAAGAATAGTATGACCTCCTAGCTAACTTCTAAGTCACATCTCGAGGTTAATACTTAACATGGATCTAGGTACTGCGGCTAATTTAACGAATATATAGAACAGTCATAATGTTGTAGTAGAAGTGTATTAGTTAACAAAGATTGAATCAACAGAGTACGTCTATTGCCATATGGGTGAGTATATTGTATGCCACTGACGCGCATCACTTGTCTCAGACCTCGTAGAAGATCGGTAAAATATTCGAAATTCAGTTACTTGTCTTCCAAATTATTTGATTAGGGCCCATTGACAGTTCACTGAACATACAATTCTCATGATGTGAAGTAAAGACAAAAAAGACACTCCAAAACACAACGGAACCAGCCGAAAATACATTCATTTATTATATATTGCAAAAAGAAGTCATATCGATGAAAAATACATAAAAATTATGAAAAATCGCTTGCTGCATGTTTTCTGCTGAACATAGTTCCTAATAATTCAACACCCAGTATATCAAACCAAATCCCACTGAAATCCAAAAAAAATATTACACCAAGTAAATAAAAATCACAAAGTTGAAAATGTAATTTTATCTTTTTATCCCATGATCAACGTACAAATCAACTCATTGTAAACAATAAATTATTTGATGAGAATGAAAATTCAAATTCGCTTTTTCAAACATTTTAATTGGATCATGTTGAAGAAAAAAAAGCAGTCGATGTGGAGCAGGTAGAATAAATAAATGCAGGCTTAGTTTAGAAAATGTATCGATCGTTTCCAACAAGAAAATTCTATCCTAAAGTTTATTACTATATCATTCATTATGTTTTGGATCTTTTCTTAAAACATGATCATTTATGGAGAAACATTCCAAAAACTGTAAAAAAAATAACTCTACTTCATTTAATTATCAAGTAGACGAAGTTGTTTCATTGCGCAGTAATTACTATTCATCTGTTGATGAGTTCTAACTGATTATCAATCAGAATAATTTTAGAATTGGAGAAATATTTTCTGAAATATACATTTAAATTAGTGTCAATATCCTGTCAAAATTTCATTGAGATTATCATCTAAAAAGAACTGTACAAATTTGAAACAGATGGAGATTGTAAATTTTACAAAAGACTTCATTGAACAAACAAATGCTTTATGTGAATAAATATACATCATACTTAAACATTACAAAATCTTTTTATCAATTTGAAATTACAACTATTACAAGAGAAAAAACAAATTTAATTGTATTGCTTATTTTTTTCTCTGTTGATAAACCAAAAAAAAATTTCACAAACTATCAACTTCACTATTAATCAAATTCGAAATCTCGCTGAAATTGTAGTGTTCAATCTTTTTATGTATTAATTTTAATATGTAACAAATACTTGAATGCTTTTGCATACTTCTTATTACAAAATGCATATATAAATGGATTACACATACTATTTAAGTATGCTGCCCAACCAGTAACCATGAAAATTCTTTCTGAGAATAAACATTCACATATTCCTTCCATCAAATATAAAGTAGTGAATGGAAGCCAACATAAAATGAAACAACACACTACAATTGCTATTGTATTGACAGATTTTTGTTCTCTCCTGAGTACAAGATATTCAGGTCCATTGGTGTATGTGTTAGAATGTTTCAACTTTGAATTCACATTTCGTTTATTCGAATTGTTAAGTTTGCATTGATGTTTGTGTTGTTGATTTTCTGATTGATCTTTTACAAAAGCATCAACTGATTTTTCCACAGATTGTATTGAATCCATATTGAAGTTCATTTCTTTTGTATCGATAGTTGGTGAATTACAGCTTTCTGTATTGTTTGTGCTACCATGAACCGCATTTGTAGAAAAATTATTTTTATTAAATTTTTTCGTGATATGGAACATTGGCAATCGGAACATTTGAATAGAGTTTGTACATTGTGTAGACGTTTCGGAATTTACTTGCTCTATTTTTTTATTATTAAATGAATTGGTGATATTTTGATCGTGTGATTGACTGACAGGAATTTCTCCAACATTTCCATGTCCTGTACATGAAGTGCATGCGACTGAATTGGAGTTAACTGAACTGAAATACCTTTTAATACGCACAAGCTGACGATTATAAATATACGTTGGACTGAAAAGCAATTTAAATGATCCATATCTATATTCTGTGAAATCATTTAAAAATTTTATAGTATTAAATTCTTTCGAACGGCGTCGAATCACATAAAATATATGTGTATAAATGAAAACAACTAGTATGAATGGAACGACAAACGTTGAAATTCCTATTAAAGATCTATACATCGTATCACTTCTTATATTACATTTTCCTATACCCGTATGGTGTTGAGTGCCAAAAAACGGCGGTATCATTATCAGTAATGACAAAGCCCACACACATACAATCACGTTCAATGCGATACGACGAGTTCGTTTCACAATATATTTCATCGGATAAATAATGGCAACGTATCGATCCACAGATATACAACATATGTTTAGTATTGATGCTGTACACAAGAGTACATTGGAAGATAGCCAGAATATGCATAATGTGGCGGATTCATAAGGCCAGTAGCCAAACTTTTGTCGAACAACAAATAAAGGTAACAGCATAACAGCAACTAAGAGATCAGCTAAAGCAAGTGATGCAATATATAAATCAGTTACCCGTCTCAATCTTTTAGTCGATACAACAGCAAAAATCACTAAGAGATTACCAAAAAATATAAGAATAGCAGATATTATTTGCAGGAAGAATAAAATTGTATTTAACATGTATTTCATTTGACTAAAGTTATCACTTTCTAAATGTGGGAGAATTTCATCATTATCAGTTGAATTGAAATTTATTCTACATAATGTACAAAAAGTTATTTTACCAAATGCCTTCATTATGAATTTATTTTCGAATGATCTGTTATCATTTAAAACTAGTTGATTCATAATGATGATGATGATGCTTGACGAAGCACTTGTTCGCAAATCGCCTTGAATTATTGTCTGAAATAGTTAGGATTTTAACTTTTGTTAGATGTTGTGAAATAACATTATTCAGTGTTTTATTTCTTGATGCAATATAATGATATTTTCATTGACTAGCTTATATGTTGATTAGTTTTTCATTTGTTAATTATATTCGAATTATGTTAGGATTATTCGTATCGGATAAAATGTGTGTTCAGTGTTTCACTTTGTTTGCATGTATCTGAGTGAATATTTTGTTTAAATTAAATTCATGTATAGTAATCAGAAATTAATATCTTTACTTCCAAAATTTCCTGTTATATTTTCTTCTCAAGCAAATATTACTTAAGAATTAACTGTTACAGTGAAACTGGAATTTTATGCAGAATTGCTAATGTTTGAAGTTTGAATTAATGTTGTAAAATAACACTATTTATTCATTTATTTCAAACAGATTTGTTATTGTATTTAATAATAAGCTAACAAGCTGTCTAAACTGTTATGTTGTTAATTTTTTTTTTTAATTCTCTAACCATCTAACTGATGTACCAATCAGAATACATTTGATTGTTTGTTCTTACTTAACTATTCATGAAAATATTTATGTATAAAATTTGAAAAAAAAAATTGTCAAAATAATGATTTATTTTCTTTATATGTAAAAGAGCGAGTAAACAGAGATTTTGATTAGAGACTTGTGAATTTTTGTATTTGAAAACATTGTTCATTTATCTGCAATTAGTTTAGCATTAATGATGACTTGTTGTTACAGTTCTGTCCAATTTTTGTTCATTCTTCTCATATCTTTCTCTATTTTTTGGCGTAATGTGTTTCTTGAAATTCCTCTTTTCCACTGTTCTTGAGGGTTCTATGTGAGGGCTTGTCTTGTAACACAGTTGGGTGCTTTCCACAGTGTATTTCCTATCCACTTTCACCGATTCTTCCTGATTTCCTCCTTCACTGGAATCTGATTTTTTCTAGCCCACAGTAGTTTGTTGTTGATGGTTTCTGGCCAACAGATGTGAAGTATTTTGTGTAGACAACTGTTCATAAATACTTGTATCTTCTGAATGATGACTTCTGTTGATCTCCAAGTTTCTACTCCATACAGTAGTACTGTCTTTATATTTGTATGGTATGGTATGGTGTTGATCATGCTTAATGTCATGTATCTCATTTCTTTTTTTAAACTTGTTTAATTGATAAATACTGTTTGTTTTTAATAATACTTTCGAACAATTGGTAAACATCTGAATATTATACAATCTGCGGTTTTTAGTATTTTGTATTTTCTTCAGTAATATTGCATGAAATTACAAAGTCGATTACCACTTACAGAAATTGTACAAATATTGAGTAGTCTGACACTATCATTCACCATACACTTTGACTAAATTTGATTATTTATTTTAAATACTATGCCTTAGACCGACATAACGTAAATAAGTGTCACAATTATCAGAAACCTAAGTTTAGACATACTTGCAAATTTGTTTTTATTGTGAAAGGATAAGAAACGTCAATTCATATGTTAACTTGGTGTTATTCTTATTATGTATTATTTAGGCTTTAATTTAGTGTGAATTTTGTTTAGTAAACATGTAACATACGTTTTGTCATAATTCTGTGTAAAATCTAATTTTGTGTTTCATATATTTCGGTTATATGCGGAATGCAATAACTAATAATCAAATCTGGGTAATAATCAATGCGTGAATTAGTGTATTTTGATTAAAGTGATTATTATTTTTTGGCAAACTGAATGAATTCATCATCTACCCTCAGTTTTTATCTTCTTTCGTGCATCTCGAAAATCTCATTATTTTCTTGTTTCAAGAATTTGTTCTCACAGACACAACACTTTTGTTTATTTCATGTCAACTATTTAAGATATATACAGTAAGATAATATTGTTAGAGTAGTTTTCACTTAATTAAATGTCACTGCTCTATCAATCAATTGATACTATTAGTACTCGGCATATAGACCGTTAAAACAAATAGATAATTGGTCAGTTATTTTATATCTTCAAGTAGAAAAGCAGTGTTTAACGAGTAAAGTAGATACTACATATTACAAATAACGAGTAAAATGGACAAATATTTTGAAAACCCAGTTTTCTCTTTTGTAGATGAACGAGAAAATCATGTTTTTTTTCGAAACCATGAATCGATCAATGTTAAACCACCATTAGAAACCTGGAAGCACTGGATGGCCGTTTCGTCCTGGTAAGGGACTCCTCAGCAGTGCTCATCCACGACTCCTGCACCTCGCAGGATTCGAACCCAGGACCTTCAGTATTGTGCGCGAACGCCCAACCATCGGACCACTTAGCCGGTATCTAACGGTGTTAATGTCTAACTTGATCAATTCACGGAGTTGCACAACGTCATACACAGTCTTCGGTAGACAATGTCTACACCCGAACAGGTTGAACTTCACTGGTCACGTCTTCCCACTAGGACTCGGAGAAGATTTCTCACGAAGCTAGTCACTAGTGTGCACAGGTAATTTGCATTACGGGGTTTCTAAAGGTGGTCTAACATTGGTCGATTCATAGTTTCAAAAATGTGTAACTTAACAATTTTCACAACCCTGTGATGCAAAATCATTTTTGTTTCAATTTAAATAAAGAATGAAATGTTTATTCACAATATTACTAATTCAATTTATAGTGAATTCTTCAAGTTTATTTGCTAGAATTATTCGTTATTTACTTACAAGTAACACTTGTGTTTTACAATGTACATGCTAAGAGAATATTCAGTCAGTTGAACTCACTATCGTGATAATTATTGCTAATTAAGTTGACAGTATATCAATTGTGTGTCAGATTTGTATTAAGCTCAATAAGAACAATTTGTAGCAAACGATGATCGAATAAATTATCAAGTACGGTAGAATTTTTGAAATAAACATAATAATTAAGGCTAATTCAATGACACCTGTAAACATGTTCCTTACACTTTATAATATAATTAACTATTTACAAGCTCAATATTTATTTACTTACATCAAACAATGCAAAGTAAATATCGATTGGATGTATTTTATTTCATTGATAAACAATCTGATATTATATCTCTGTCTAACACATCCTTCTTGTTCTGTATAATGATTTTATTAAAGTGTAACTTGGTTAGAAAAAATAAAATTAAATCCCTTATCCAAAATAAATTATTACAAAGCCTTTTTTATTATCAACAATGTTATTTAATGTATGACCAAATTACTGTCTATTGAAAGATATACATAGGATAGTTTTTTTTTGTTTTACAAAAATGTAACTCTTTATTATTTACTATATTTCTGGAATGAAAAAAAATCAATTACAGGCAGCAACAACAGCAACAACAACAAAAAATACGATTGAAATTCTACTAACTTTCAGATAAGATGAGTTAGATTTGATAAAATTAAAATTTAAAAAAAAATTAATACAATAGAAAAGTACACTGTGAATACTTAAAAACACACAGTACATAAGTTTGAATTATATTGGAAAAAATGAATTTTTTTCTCTGTGAAATAGTCATATTGTATACGTAAATTGGAAGAAATAGAACGATATTACTGATAAAGTTATCAGTAACTTAAACAACTATACTTAAAAATAAGAAAAAAAATTGTACTCTTTCTCAACAAATACATGCTAAAATAACCATGAAATAGAATTATGTTTAATTAAACACAAGAATAAGAAAATATTGGTAATGGCCATTTTCACTTTCAAACGAAATGATTGATCGTAATGAAAAAATATTTAATCAATTCAAGATGAATATATATTTATTATTGGTTAGAAAATGAAACCAAAATGATTTAAAGAATAAATAAAATAAAACTAAGATTGAGAAACAATAAAAGATTTATTAAGAAATGAATAATTAACGCACACATGGATTTTTAACTTCTTAAGATATTTGATCGTTATGTGGTAGAGTTTTGACATATTCGACTGTGAATACACAACAGATCGCGTAAATACTAAACGAAATGTAAAGAAAAATAATAAAATTTTGTTTCAAATCGATCTGATGTTGAGTAAAATATTAAAGCCTTATTGTATAATGTAACCATTCACAAATAAGATTTAAACAAGTGTACATCTATTGATTTATAGTTTTTATAGAGTTGAGAAAAGCTATAAATCAATTCTGTAATCATGCAATCGTATATCTTAACTTATCCAATCAGTCGTAATGAACGTAAAGCCTGTGGCAGTAATGTATTAGTTCATATTACATTCCTAAGTTAATCGGGCCAGATAAGTCACAAGACCAGCCCTCGCTTGGAACCCTCGATTTCAAAGGAAAATAGGAAGGCCAAGGAACACACTACGCCGAATAATGGAGACAGACGCAAGAATAATGAGCAAAAATTGGACAGAACTGGTTAAGGAAGCCCAGGATATAGAAGGTTAGGAGATACTGATGGGCGGCCTATGTTCCATTGGCGATGACAGGCGTAAGTAAGTAAGAGTCAGATGAGATTAATAAGATGTATGGCAAAAGGGTTTGACGTAATGTAGGAGACTAAATATTGAAAAATATGATTCAAAAAGACAGGATGGAAAGGTATGTGTAACGGAATATTGACATTCGGTATTGATAAGAACCCATAAAAATTAATACATCTACGTCATTGTGAATGATCGTCAGCAATTTCGTTCAAAGTTTACAGTCAGTGTCAGGTACTCTTCATATACCAATATGTCTAAGATTAGTAGTCAATGTCTTCATGGACTAACGATACAACTTGGTTTGGCCAGTTTTAATTCTCCTTGGACGTACTCCTACACCAGAAAATACCAACCTCAATAGATGAGAATTCATAATTCATTGGTTTAATTATGATCAAATTGTTAATGATATCGAAAAAATGAAGATCTTACTTTAGTTGTATATGTTCTATTGACAGATCCCTTTAATAACAATGTGGATATAAAAAGTCAAATAAGAGTGTTATGAATACTCATTTTTTATATATTCCCTTCGACAGACAGACAAAGAGATGAGAAGCGTAATAGGAGTCAGTGCATTCAAAATGTCACTCATTACAAACGTTAATGTAATTTAAAATAGATAATGAATAGTGCAACAAGACAAGCATTTGATAACAAAATCAGAGTTTACAAACACACATCTGAGACGTAGACGCGTAGAATTTAAAAAACATACACAATAAGAGGTTTTACTCATTTATGGTAAAATTTCCCTTGAAAAGAACAGTTAATAGGAAAGTGAAAATTTATGAATAGTTTTTAACGTGAGTACTAATGTGTTGAGTCCACACGGCTTGTCCTTGAATTGAGACAAACTAATTAGCATTTTCTGTCCGAGTTACCATTCCCATGTCTTTTGGTCTGGTCTATTACTTGCTAAAAAACGTTTTAGTTGAGTACGTATGTGCATTGCTTGTTTCGCTTATCATATATCTAGCTGACTTTTGTCCATTTATAAATAGTTAGTCATGACTAATCACATCGGGTTAGCCAACTCACCTTGTCCGTTTCACTTGTTTTCGCTACATTTTTATGTCTCGCTTTACGTTCTCTGTCTGCTTGAATGAATTTATGAAATAAATTTATCCTCAAAACTGCATTGGCTTTTACTTGCCGCCATTGCACAACACAGAATTCGCCTAAGAATGATACAAGGTAATTGAAGGAACGATTTATTTCATAAAATATTCAGTCGCTCGTTTGAATTACAGTCAGATTCCAGGCCACTAAAGTGGTGAGCAGTATTTCGAAACTAACATAACCTGCAGAACCATTACAGACGATTTATTTCGCATTGTGTAACAATATTTCAACCAAAGATGGACGTTTGAGAGGACATGTTGGGTCATCATATTTGTACACATAATACAAGTGAAATACTAGGTTTTCAAGATCTGTCCAAAAGTTAGAATGGGTGACGTTAGTGTTTAGTAACATATAAGACGCAAAAACAACCTCGTCAACCAGTGAGCCACCTTTTTCATGTTTCTGGTGGTCATTCTGTAGGTTGATGAAAAGCAAGCCGTAATTTGAAAGCATATGTGATCAAAAGCTTGCAGCCTAAGCATGTCTTCGAAATTCAAAGTCTGTTTCACAGCCATAAGGAGACAAAGTGCAGACTGTTGATCAATATGCATTGCCTTTGATTGCCAGACGGATATTTCACCTGCGGCGTAACTGACAAGACATCCCAAAGGCCAACTAAACTGCCTGAATTTTTACTGAGATTTGGCTATGCATCAAACCATAAAGGCTGACAAAACGTCTATGATAAGTGAAGTGATCAGTGCGCTGAACTACTTGACGAACAATTCTGTAAAATCACGGGTAAATTGTGACATTATTAGCAGAGACAGACTGTAAACCGGGAGGCGCTTTCGGCCCTATTTGGGACTCGTCAGCTAGGTGTACCTGTATCTCAGACTTGATGAACCCACTCCTTTACGCTAATTGGATAACGCGGTTGCGTCTGAAGCGTAAATTATTGGGTTTAAATTCCGAAATGAACACCAACTATGAGATGCGGGTACATCAAGCTGACGAGTCCAAGTAGGGTGAAATGTACGTCCCGGATTCCACTGTGAGCCACCATCTACCTCTACTAATAACGCTTGCAACCTAAAGGCATTATCGAAGCGAACTGCACAGGATGCCTATATCCCAAAGAGACTGACCAATCGCAGTCCAAAACATCAACGGAAAAATTCAAACAACCAATATGAATAAATTATGACGTTGTTTTCACAGTTTATTTACACAACAGATATTTGGTTACACTTGGAATATTAGACGCTAAAACAAGTCGACTGATATTTTTCACAATAATACGACACTAGAAAATTCATGTTATCCAAAAGTTTATGTTATCTGACGATAGATTACAAGGCGTGTAACAATTAGTTATCAGTTTTAAATTCATAATAAACAATTCTTTCAAGCGTGAAATATTCAATCTGTAGCAAAAAAAATTTTTTTCCCAATGAAGGAAAAATAATAAACACACCAATTAGAGTTAGTGGAAAATCAATGGAAAATCACTCACTTTAATAACAGATGCTGATCCATTTTTTGTTACATTCATAGGCATTTGTCTAAGACTACAACCATCAATACCTAGATATCGCAGACAAGGTAACATTCCTAATTCAATAGGAAGTAAATCTAATGGTTTATTGTTTGATAAATACAAATGTGTTAGATTCTTTAGTTTGCCTGAAATTTGATTAAAAAACAAATGTGTGGAAAAAATTAAAATAGTGAAATAACACTGGATAAGGTACAGACATTTATTATTCATTATCATCTTGAATTTGCATGACTACTTGATAGTTTCGAAACAGGACACGTCTCACTGAATTATTTGCAACCTTTCGTTAAGGTGAAATCTTTCAAAAATAATATGGCTGATGAATGTATAAAGACAAATTTTTATGGTAATGATATTTTTGCGCGTCAATATTTTTGGAAGATGTTAGCTTTAAACACAAAAATAACACACTTGTTTTAAACAAAAGTACGCAAATGACTCTTAGTTTGTTTTAATTACTTATCGTTAAAAAAAATTTCATTTAATATAAATTTAACATTTACCGATTTCAGGTGGTAAACGTTGAAGGAGGTTTTCTTTCACTCGTAGTTTCTTTAAATTGTTCAAGTTTCTTAAAAATACAAATAAAATACGTGTAAAATAAACTGGACTAGTAAAAGAGTGTTCCAATATTAAAAATATTTAATTGATCACATGTGCTTTGTTACCTGATTCTGAAGACAGTTGATGTAGTTTATTGTAGTATTAAGCAATGCAAGTACATAATTAGTAGACATCAGGGAAAGCTATATGTCAATTCATTTCAGTCTTAGTTTTTAAAGAGTGAACAGAATGAACAACAAATCAACTTCAAAATATCAACATACACAAGTTAACCGAATTAACACTCTTATTGATTACTTTCGAAAAGGAACATTAAAGGAAAGCACGTAAATATGAAGCAATACAAACTGCAAGCGCTATCGAAGAATCAGGCCTATATATGACCTATGACAATGATTTTTGTGACTCTTTAGCACTCTTTGTTCTTAACTACCTTTTTATAGTTGAGAGCGATCATAAATACACTGTTACGGGACTAGCATTGCACTTCACTGCACTATTTGTCAACAGAAAAGACACCTCAGTCCTTATACTAAGAAAATAACTCTTTTCTAACCAGTGAGTCATATGTGAAAGCTATAATTCCGGAAAAACATAACATTATTCCCACTTTCTCAGAGTACTTATTTTCTTTTTATATTAGTTATTCAAAGCAATTCTGTGCTTACAATATTGATGACTATTACAATGTATGTTTTGATAAGAATGCTGAATTCTACAATGGTATCACTGCTGATTGTACACTTTTTCTACATCATATAATGCGCAGCAATAACATTTTTGCGACTAACTCTGAATCATGATAATTTATGAAATATGTCTCTTCAGATAATCTTTTTGATTTGTTTAACTGTTTTGTTTGACTAATTCCTGATCAAGTGAACTTTTCCTAGTGACGTCATGGAGGAAGACATTTCATCCAAACCAGACAATTAAATTAAGAAGAATATTTGTCCTTACACTTTACCCTTCTATCGTTATTTTACTGCCCTTGATAAAAAATCTTTTACACAGTAAATGGACAGTGTTTTGGTTGCCGTATTTACAAATTAGCATTCCTTTTAGATGTGTATCTACAGCATGATGGTATAAGTACTTAAATTACCGTGAACTACTCAACAAAACGTAAATAATAAAGTGAAAATTTTCATTCATTAAAAGACTATAACAAACAGTGTTGAAACATGTCATAGTCAACAATTCTCGTAGCATGATTGTTTTCTCAACGCTTTTAATGACTGAATATATATAAGAAAAAATTATAATTTATTCTCTTTACCGATATCTATACTCATGCATTCATACAAATGTCGTAAAATCGGGATATCTTGTAAGGTAATAGATTCAATTTTTTTTAAAATTTAGTAAATTGTTTGGTGAAATCAAAGAAATGAACTATTGAGATCACAAACAGACACCCATTGAAAACTTAGAAGAACTGCCGTTTCGTCCCAGTATGAGACTCTTAAGCAGTGAGAATGAAACAAGTTATGTAAGGTGTACGTGAAATTAAGCTTTCACTTATAACTTCAATCTTTAGAACTAATAAATGTATTTAACAAAGATGAACCATATGTCAAGTACCCTTACCTATATGTTTAAATTTGATAGGCAAACGGATTGAAATAATGGAAACAGAACAAATCCATCAACAGTTTGAGAAAAATAACTCACCCAATAGTTGATGGAAGTCGAGATAATTTGTTCACATCTAAATTAAGTATTTGTAATTGACATAATTGTCCAATATTTAAAGGAATCGATGTGATTTGATTCGATTCTAATTCTAATTGTACTAATCTAACCAATTCTCCAATTCTATTAGGTAATGCCTAATTGATGAAATAAAATTTAAGAAACCATATCAATTTATAGATTGCAGCATGCATTAAGTGTATATATAAATAATTATCATCTTGTAATTAAATCATCTGATTATGTTCAGCTATAAATTCAAACAAGATTATCACATTTTTAAAAATGGTTTCATTTGTTGCGATTCTAATAAACGGTAGAAAAGTTTTGGTCAACTTTACATAAAACTAAATGAATTTTTAAGTTTTATGATTGAGTGATTGATGAGTTACATAAAGGTCGCCTTATTCAAAGGATCAATCTAAGAGTAGTTATAGATGTAAATAACAAAAATCTAGTTTATCTCACATATTTTATTTATAGGCTAATGTGAAATTAAAAAAATTCGGTGCTTATCTACCTGTTTGTCATCATTATTCACACAATGATAAAGTTTCATAATCATCGCTTGATTTGCTAGAAGATAAACGATACTGAATGTTGTATTTAATTCAATTGAATGCAAAGTGATATTTTACAGTAAACACATGCAAATCTTTGTAACAAATAAGACTTGTGCTATCTTCACAATGAGCAACTACTATGCACTTTACATTTTGCTTTATCTGCTGTTTTTTTAATCTTACATAAATTGCTTGATATCATGAACCCATCTACATCAAACAACCACTAGAAACCGAGAAGCCTTGAAGGGCCGTTTCATTCTAGTATGGGACTCATCAGTCGTACGCATCCATGACTCTCCAAAAATGAGAGAATGTTCTCACGACATGATTGATTGACTAAAGTTAGACTTGCAGTCGATTAAATCCTGGCCCGGCGGTTTACAGATTAGGTGTGAAAAGCTGGAGGTTCTAAATTGGACTTTTGAATTTCAGGACTGTGATAAACAAGAGGAGTTTCGTACTAGGATAAAACACCTATCCAATAGGTCCAGGTTCTCAAAGGTTATCTAACATAGAATGATTCATGATTCCAGTCTCCACAATCTATACTGACTATTACACAATAAGTGAATTGAAACTTTAAAGAACAAAATATCAAGATCTGTTAAATAAAGACTTAGATTTGGATGTTGTTCTGTTAGGAATACATTTTTCATATTGATGGAATAATTAATCATTTAAACATCAGTGAGCAATATATCTGTCTTGAATTGTATTCAAAACGTCAAGTTTCTTTGGAGGAATAAATTATTCTGACAACTAAAGGATACTATGACATGGTAGGAAATGATAAAAAGTAAAACACTAACTCTACTTTTATAGGTTGTTTCTTTTAGTCTGTTTAATACTGACATACTATATCATTATTATTATTTTGATTAACCAGAATAAACAATTAAACTTACTACTTACTACTAATTTAAGCATCACGTTTATTAGTACTAAGGAATTCACTAATTACTGATGTAACTTATCTCGTTGAAGCGCATTAATTGGCATAAGTCGAAACAATCATAACAAAAAATAAACATCCATAAATTTTCATGTGTACAAATTTAACAATGGGAACATTTGAAGTATTTTTAGATTTTAGGTGTCTCCCGAAAGAAGAGCTGCAAACATGTTAGCGCTCAAATAGTATTATGACAATGGAGAATAAAGATAGTTTTATAGATTTTTTTGCAACAAAACAGTAGAGTTTGATTCAGGAAACATAATCGCTACGCAAATTAGGAAAGTGATCATTTTTTCCTACACTCCATGGCTAATTACCGAATAAATTTGCATTAATTTCAGTTATAGTTATCCAGTACAATTTCACAGCATGTTGTCAATAAAGAAATAACAGTGAAATAAACTTCTCATTTATAAGCAACAGTTATTTTCTTCCAAACAATAACTATAACAATGTAAAAAAAAGAGTTCTTGAAAACAATCAAATTATCATTTTAATATCGTTACCAAAAAATAGGATTTATCAAGTGTTCATAGTCATAATAATCGGGTACATTCAACAGATTACATGAGTGAAATAATTCATTTAGTATGCATCGAAGCCTTAAACACAAATCTTTTTTTAGAAAAAAACAAACAGAATATAACATCATGTCACATTACCTCTAAGCGATTACTGGTCAAATCTAATACTTCCAGAGATACTAACTCTCCAATTGAATCAGGTAGATGATCAATTTGATTATAGGAAAGATCTAATTCAACAAGATATTTCAATGTTTCAATTCCTTTAAAAAGAAAAAATATATATATTTATAACATAAATGTATTGATGTAAGCTGTAAAATGTTGTAAACACTACCATCGATTCGATGGAATTTAGTTATTAGTTAAGTAAACACCAAAAAACATAATCATCTAAAGGATATGCCTATTGAGACTAGAATATAAAGATACATTAAAAGTATAGAGATTTTAAAAAGAACATAAAAATTATAATCAAACATGTATGCAATAAAGATAGAAGAATTTTAATGATAATTCATTGTCTTGATATTTTGTTTATAAATGTCAAAGTGTATATCAAAGATCTTTAATGAAAGTTATAACTTATATCAAAATTTATTAAATATGATTATACATCTTTAAATGAGAAAAGAATAGGTTATCAATTCAGCAGAAAAAAAACAAATCTTCAGTTAATGAATATCAAAATGAGCATACAAAATTAAGTCACAAACGGTTGGCACAGCATCACTAATTACCATCCTATTAAATGTGTTATTGCATTCATATAACCTAACTTTATGTCGTCGAGTAAACCAAACAAATATTTATCATTGGAATAAGATAATGTTATTTGTTGAACCTACACATCAGTAGTACATATCGCGAACTTTTCAAAGACAGAGTACAAAATTAATCACTCATCAGTTTTTAGTGTGCCTAATACAAAAAAACTTCGATAATTTCACAATAAATTTATTAAATTAAGCCTGGAATAAATAGTATCATCATTTAAAAAAACAATAAATAAAAATCTACAACTTAAGATCACATTATTCACAATGTTTAATTATGATTACAAGTAAAAAACATGTTAATATATAAGAATGATTAGTTGTTTTTTTCTATTAAGAGTTAATCGACTGAAGTCTAATTTCCACTAATCTATCAATAAAACAGTTCCATGAAGGTAGTATGTGATTTTTTTTCTTGCAAAGAATATGTTTCGTTGAATTAATAACCTGGTTTAAACTGTAGTTAGCGAAAGCTGATTAATGAAATCATAAATCTCAGAAATATGTAAAACTTTAAAATGAACTAAGAATAATTTACTATCGCTGCGAGTTTTATAATATAGAAATAGTTATTTGTCAATTTGACTATCAACATTATGACAAAAATTAATGCATCACTAACTGCATGCTATTTTACATCAATAACCAAATAGAATTAAGCGAGAAAAAAAATATTTCAATTAGAAAAAAATAACTGTTACTGACAGTTATCATTTCGATTTAATGGATTGAATGGGATGTTTCTTTTTTGTTTCGAATAGCATAACAATTGTGATAAACAAATAACTGTTTTCAAATGAATTAGATCAATAGTCTTTCTTTTTCTTATGAATTACTTCTAATCAATGTTGAGTCCATGATGAAATTAGATTATTGGCTTTTTTTGGAACTGTAACGGTATGTGGCATTTATCCATGTAGACTGTGTAGATGTAATTGCTACCTTTTAAATAAATATCGAATCATTGAAAATTAAGATTGGAACTGTTATCCGAAATGTCTGGTTTAAAATGATGTGATGAGAAATAAAAAAATCATTAACGAATACATTTTTACTAAAGAATAGATGAAATAGTTGACTAACAGTGGAATTCAGGTCGGGTGTTTCGTTTTATTTGGGACTCATCAGCTGAATGTACTCGTATTGATAATGGGATAATTGAAACTATGAGAACTTAAAACATTTTGATTTTCTTGTTACAGCTACACAACCACTTTCTTAATAGTTAGAAATAATGTTTAACTAATGATAGTGATCCATTGTGCCTAGAGGTCAGCTATTGTTGGCACAAAGGATTTTTTCGTCAAGATTTCTTGATAACTACTATTTCTCATGTCAAGATTTTATTTGTAGTAGGTCAGCTACGACCAAGTCCAATAGTGATATTTTATTTTCAATTTGTCAAATAAATGGTGATGTACACGCATTTTAGAGTCTCTTTGAAAGTTTTAACATACAAAGTAATCATTCACACTCCTAGTTGTATTTCATTAGGCATCTTTTCAACAACATAACTACTTTTTCTCGAAAGAATTAACTAATAAATTTAATGGACTTTGTGATTGACATTTTCAAACAGAATATTACAAACAATACAGACAATGAATTACAATCATATACATACAATAATATGTACTGACGTAATAAAACATTCATAAAAGTAAATGAATATTAAGAAATGTAAAATATTCATTCTGAGTATTTGTCGTGAACATACAACAAAGTAAAAAGAAAGGTTAATTCGTTGTATCTATAACATTTGAACTATTATACTATGGTTTTGTTATCCTTAAGACAAAGGAGTTATATACAAATAGTTAATAAGTTAATTGTTTACCTGTAAAATCTAAAGTGATAATATTATTGTTGCCTAAGTTTAATGTAGTTAATTGAGTATTTTCTGACATTTGCATTGCTTCAAATAACTCTAAATGGTTATAATCCAATCTGAAATGCTTGAAAAAAGTGTTGAAATTAGAATACAGATAAAAATGAAATATGAAATAAAAGATGATTTCAGAATAGATATTACAAATAGCCTATCGTGGTTGAGTGACGATAAGATGTAATAGTAAATATTGACATTTTATAGTAATAGCGCGTAGCTCTTTTGATTCTTTGTAAGACTTGGGAGCAATATGTGTTTTATCGATATATGTCTAATTTTACTATTAGTAACTTCACTAACATCACAGAATAATACAGAAAGGCTCACCCCTCTAACCGCCCATCAATCTTTAAATAACTTTATGGCTCTAGTAGAACTGTTCCCTTATTGCAGTTCTCATGATAGGCAACGTTGAGATACGATTCAAAACAAAGTGGCTGACCGGTATGAGCACAAAGTTAGTATACAAAACAGACTTTAGGTATCTGATGTGAAAAACAATGTAAATCTCTCCATGTCGGATAATAAATACAGATTACCTGAATAGGTTTAAAGTGATAATAACATTTGTAAATCCATAAATACAGTTTAAACTTTAATATGGTCATATCTTTGGTAAACCTTAGTATACGCCCAGGAAAATTTTTGTACAAAGCCACAAAGCTGATTTATGCTCAATCTTATGGTCTGTTTCAACTGAGTGTTTAGCATTCAAGGAAGATAGATATCCATCATTGACCTTTTGGTTTTATTTGTTTTTGTAGTCATTTTGGTAAATGTTTAAACAACCAAACTTGCAAATCTCGATCTCTTTTCTCTGTGTATGTATGGCCCTAGGAGCATTCAGAACACCTAATGCGTTTAAAAACACTCTGTTCTCACTTTAAACTTACTCTGATAATATTAACTTACTGTCAAGCGTGGTAAATTTCACAATATTTTCTTCATTGTCTGTTATTCCTCCTACGTTCCATTTGCCTAGTTCGTTTTTTACTTTTTATAAGTAAGTTTTCTTACCCAATATATTTGTGATCAGAATGTTTTAAATTTATTTCACTAAAACATCACATAGTTGTAATAATCATCACCTTTGTACTAAATTGTCCAGCGTTTATCTTTGAAACTATGAATCGATCAAAGTTAGACCACCATTAGAAACCTGGAAGCACTGGACGGCCGTTTCGTCCTGGTATGGGACTCCTCACGGAGTTGCACAACCTCATATACAGTCTTCGGTAGTCACTGTCTACACTCGAACAGGTTGAACTTCACTGGTCACGTCTTCCCACTAGAAATCGGAGAAGATTCCTCACGAAGCTAGTCAAGTTAGACATTAACACCGTCAGATACCGGATCAGTGGTCCGATGGTTAGGGTCGCGCACAATGCCGAGGGTCCTGGGTTCGAATCCTGCCGGGTTCAGGAGTCGTGGATGCGCACCGCTGAGGAGTCCCATACCAGGACGAAACGGCCATCCAGTGCTTTCAGGTTTCTAATGGTGGTCTAAATTTGATCGATTCATGGTTTCAAAAATGTGTAACTTAACAATCTTCACAACCCCGTAATACAAAATTTATCTAACACAATAATTATTTTACATGGGAAAGATGCTCGTTACACGATCGATTTAAAATAATGGAACTAATGATTTCCTAGTGCACTTGATTTGTCTTACTGTCATATAGACGGTCATAAGATCATTTACTCAAATCGATTTGATAGTTATTAAATCGAAAAAAACTTTTTAAAATATTTCATGTTCAGATGTGTTGAATAATTAGAAAAATTAAAATATTGATCTCTTGATAAACTATGATCAGTAATGATTGTATTTATTTTCATATTCTTTTGATAGAACAATGAGAAGAGATAGTTGATCTTATGTATTTCATTTCCGGTAATCCGATCACACATATACTTGTCAAAGCATGAATAAAAAGTTAATTCAATAAAAGTTCAAATAGACAAAAGATGATAATTGTAAATAAAGGTGAGAAAAAATCAACATAATATAGAAAGAATTAGAAAGGGTAGGAAATTGTCACAATACCGTAGGCCATAAAATAAAATTTACAACAGTTAGTTCCTTCTATAAATTTTGATAGAACAGTGAGAAGACGTAATTGATCTGAAAATTGGGGTGTATTTGCGCTATGCATTTCGAACAATCTGGTCACACATATTTACTAACACATTTGAAATCATCAATCAATCAATGTTAGAACACCATTAGAAACCTGGAAGCACTGAACTGCCGTTTCGTCCTGGTATGGGAATTAACAGCAGTGCACATCCAAGAGTCTTTCATCTCACAGGATTCAGATCCTGGGTCTTCAAAATTGTGAACGAACGCCTAACCTCCGGACCACTGGGCTGTCATGCAACGGTGTTAATGTCTATTTCTGACTGATCCAAGGATTTTGCGCGACCTCACCTATTTGTCTTTGGTAGTTACTGCCTACACCAACATGGTTGAACTCCACTGGTCACGTCTTCTCACTAGAACTCCCAGAATTTCCTGACGAAGCTAGTCCATAGTGAGCACATTTTACGATATTTTCAATGAGAGTTATAGAGATGAGTGTTTTTACACTAAAATATGTAAAACACTGATCTCCATAACTCTAACTGAACATATTTACTTGTCAAGGCATTTTATATGAAGATTAATAAAAGGTCAATTAAATAAAAGTTCAAATAGACATCAGGTGATAATTGTAAATAAAGGAGAGAGAAAATTAACGTAATATGAAAAGAATAAGAAAGGGTAAGAAAATTGTCACATTACCCTAGGCTTAAAGATTACCGGGGTAAATTCAAGGTTGTGACAAATTGTTTCTGCACACATAAGGGGAGTTTTAATTTTCGAATAGCCAAGGCCTGCATGAACCTCGGAATTCGTCCTTCAACATTTATATACAATGTTTTGAAGGCTGTCTTGTTGTCAACTTATGCCCTGTCTCAATTATGTGTTTTGCGATCGATGAACATGGTTTTCTATTTCCAACGCTAATTGGCTCATCTGAAGTTAACTGATTTTGAAGCCACTTAGGTACATGTTCCATAACCCTTGATTGCAAAGCCCGATTACTCCTCCCACACAAACATGTAAATTGATAAATGCAATGGGAAGTGATGTAATCATTCGAGAAACCTTTCAAGTCTATGGGAAATCATGGATATAATCTTTTCAATGATAATCAGTCTAGCTGCGTTGTATGTTTTCTCTATGGCTACTTTTAGTCTCTGTCTTAAGATTAGACCATTTGCTTCGCCTCTAAATGTTAAAGTTATTTAAACCTTTTTTTCTCGGCAGAATGAAAAACTGGCTTTTGTCTTAACTGATTTCTACACCTATTGACGAACTTTAGCAGATAGCCATTTGAAATCAGTGCTTCAGTTAATAATTTTTCATAGTCTTCAAATGTATCTGTGGTGCAAAGCCTTTGAGCCCCTTACAAAACCTCGCTTATTTGCAGTGGACAAAAACTGCTGAAATTTAGATACTGTTCATTCCGGATCGGTTTTCCATAAACAAAACGCTTTATACTGCTATTCTCCCTTCGACTCAACAGTATGTCTAAAAGGGGCAGTCGGTTATTATTTTCTGGTTCATGGGTTAGTATAATGTCATTCTGAAGACTATTGAAGTTGTCCAGTAACTGAGAGACGTTGAGTTCTTTATCACATATAATTAAAATATCATCCATATATCTCCTATACAGAGTAAACTTATTGATATGCTCATTCCACAAATTTCCAGCATATGCCATATACACATCAGCTTAGAGAGGTCCCAAAGCACCACTACCCATAGCAACGTCATCAACTTGCTAGAAATGCTCAACATCAAATATGAAATGCACTTTCTCAGTAAATAATAAAATTAATTCTCTTAATAGAGTTGACTGAATGGGATTACCAGGGTAACTTCAAGTTTATAACAAGCCGTTTCTGTGCACATAAGTGAGGGTTTTAATTTAAGAATTGCCAAAGCTTCCATAAATCCCGGAATCTGTTTTAAAATTTCACTCTAATTTTGCTAATTTTCAAGTTGATTTAAACGATTGGATTTCATGTAATTTATTTATGAAAATATATATATATATATATTTAGATAATTTAAAAAATATATATTCGGCAATTTTTGATTATCCATATGAAAACAAAGAGTGAAAAACTCATTTCTACTTACTTTGATATTTCTATACTGGATTTTATCACCAATTGGAAAAGAATTGAAATCATTGTGAGACAGTACTACAGAATGTGAATCTTTTAAATGACATAATAAATTTTCCTATTTAGATAGTCATAGAAAGAGAGAGAGGGAGAGAAAAGAAAACGGTTATGACTTTAAATAATTCAAAGAAAAAATAATGTTAGTTAATGAGAGTTGTTAAATGCAAACAGATTAGTGATAATTTATTTCTCATGATCAACATTATAGCAAAACAATCGTTGATAACCAGTCAGTATTGGATAACTGGTTCTTCATACAATAAGGATATCTCTTTAATGAACATTCATAAACCTAAAAGTCAGTGATAAATAAGCACTGCTCTAAAGTATGACAGTTTTTTATGCTTCAATATTAGTTGTTCAGCAGTGCATAATAGATGTGAACAATCTCTTAAGATTTTATAGTTGATTGGAATTTTTTAAGGCACTGAAAAATCCAAAGACATTAGTATTCGATTACTGAAACTCATAGATACAAGCATCTGTATAAGTAAAATGAAGTCGTAAGTTTTATGATCAAGACAATTCTTTGGGTTTTCTTATCTTCGTTATGTTCATCATTTGATGAACCATTGAAATTCAAAAGTAAATCTTCATCATAATGTTTTTTTTAAATTTTTTTGTAAACCCTTTCAACAAATTTAAATATTGCTAAAATCATGTATACTAGGCTATACTCTTTATTTATTATGTAAGGAATAAAAAAAATTATATTGCTGCTGAAATCTAAGCAGATAAGAGAATATAACGAACAAAATAATCGTTGGTCATGAAAAGTATAAAATAATATACCCGTTATTTTGTCATTTATAGCAGCCAAAATAAAACTTCATAAGCTATTGATGATTTTAAAGCCACATTAATTGACTGTTCAAAAAATATTTAAGTAGTTAGCATAACTCGAAAAGCAATTTACTACAGAAATGTGAATCAGCTTTAGAAAAACTTGACTTCAATGATAATTAACTCATCTTAAAGCCAAATGCAGATTGAGAAGTGATTTTTATGAATAGATAAGACCATGTGAAAGAATAAACTCTCTATTTCGTGATGAAAGAAAATTTGAAGAAAACAGTAGTCAAAAAGTGTATGTCAGGTGTGATTTAAAAACAAATAAATAGTTCATTAAAAATAACAACACAATAAGAACTAATCTTAGAGAGCCTATTAGTTATGTTGAAACCGACGAGTACAGTGAGACCCAAAACGTATGATCTGACAAACGATCATTAAAATGGCTTTATTATTCAATCAATTTTGGATGTGAATAATCTTGCCAGAATGAGTTGTGCAAGTTTTAAACAAAAATACAAACAGGTTGTTTTAACGCATCTATTATTTGAACTTCTTATATGAAGCCAACTGTTTAATCATCATATTTCCAAACACCATTCCACTTGGTAAAAAAGTAGATACGGATCGTTAAGTAGTGACTTCATTTCAGTTTGTCAAGCATATAACTTCCACGATGATTAATGTACAAACACTTTAAAACCTTGTCCTTACACCTTGATAAAAAAATTCACATTTTATAATTATGATCATTTCATTTGATGTATAACTGAAAATTTTAATTCATCACGAAGACATAAACAAAAAATAATCCTGCAATTTTATTGAAAATCGTAACCTTTTTTATAATTCGTAGAAGAAATATAAAATCCTATAGAAAGCAGATCACTTTTAAAAGTGATTTGTATGAAACAAAATCTTGAACAGCTTACTAAAAAGAATTTATTTCGTGTGTTGCATTTTATTATAAACGTTTTCAATATTTATTCATTATTTACTCTCATTAACTCACATTAACATAATTTACAGAAACAATTGACTAATTGTTATTTATGTAAAGAAAACATTTCATGCACTTACATATTCAATTATAGTTTTATGACCATATAAGAAAAAAAACAGAAAATACAATTTTTACAATATATGACGAATTAATTTTTTTCCCATATTTTCATGTACTGAGTACACTTTGTAGACATTAACAGATTTGCAAAAAAATTGTTACATTTAAGACAAACGTGAAATTTTTTTCAAAAAATAAACAAAACCGATAGAAAATATAGAGAAACGTCTATATATCGACGCATACATCGTTACATTCTGTATTTACATCAGAACAAATTATTCAAACTAGATTGGAATATATTATGACTTAATTATAATTTGTATTACATAATCTGTGCGCTGGATAAACACACGCTATTGTTACAAACCATAGACCAAATCGTAGCGCCGAAATCAAGTGATTAGTATAGCATACGATAGGTGCGTTTCTCCCGAGCGTGTATGATACCATTAAGCCACAACTGGGGCACAATACAGCGCAGCATCTCAATCTAGTTATCTATATCGGACTAGGTTGTGGCCGGATTATTAGGATGGAGCCTTTGACCAGCAGCAACCCACGGTGGTATACGAGTATACACGCTGGCAGGCATTCACCCAATCCACGACTCAGTGTGCGCTTTGATAACTGCAAAACCGACCCTCGGCCAGGCGTGGCCACAGGATATCCTGTAGCCACGTTCAAGATGTCGATGTTCAAAGTAGTATACAGTTCACATTAATTCACACAGTTGGCTGCACTCTTCATCGGCACACGAGCCGAAGGATCCACCGCTCAAAGCTTTACGCCGATAACCGCATACACTGGTCAGCCGAATGCATTGGACTAATAGTTGACGCCGAAGCCTAGGATGTTTACCGCTAAGTCAGCGTACATGAAGTCTAGCGCGAAGCCAGGTGCATGCAATGCAGTAAACTGGTGAATGGCGAGACAAATCAAGCCGCTTAAACAGTGTAAAATGTTTGAAATGGGAACAATAACGAGGCGGAGTGCATGTATATATCATACAAGTCTCTTTGAACCTAGGACACAACAATAGCATTATTCACTGTCCCATTGCCTCTGGCCAGTCAGGCAACCCGAAAGTCACGAGAACACCATCAAAGCATATGATAGGCTAGGAACCCCATATTATGCCTTACTATTTCTAATGTAAAACTGTTTATGGATGAGGAAACAAAGGGTATTTCTCTAAGCAGTCATTGTATAATCAGTGTACACTTTAGGATTTTGAATAAAATTAGCTTATTTTCGTTATCTTTCTACAGCGGATCAATAATCAAATAAACTAATTACTAACTACACCTATCCATATGGAACAAATTGAAATGTATCATTTCTTTAAACTGTTGATAATTTTTGAAAGTTTTTCAAAACTCATAAATCACATGTCTTAACAGACTTAGATTAGACATTTTTTCTCTAATATGTGTATTAACCATCAGCCGGAAAAAAAGTAACTGAAAACAATGATAAGGAAAACCAATAAATGAAATTATGAAAAAGAATAATTGTTTATTTATTTTTCCAAGGTTATACAAATCATAGACAATAAAACAGAAAATATTTCAGTTACAAAAAATAGATATTTAAAGGTTTTATTCGATAATCGTATAAAGGGAAAAAGTCTCTGATTAGTGTGAACATAATCAGTAGTAGTTAAAAATAGTTCTGGACAAAGCTAATCGAATAATATTATCTTTTTTTAGAATTTGTCTTTGAGATCTACCAACAAGAGACTGTTAAGATCGTAGTTTCGAAAATGAGAATTTGGATCGCCTCCTGGATATGTCATATATGTTAAAGTGTTTTTTTCACTAACCTACTCAAGTATGATAATTACCACTTGTTCAGCGGATATCAAAGTTATTGTGGATTTCATTAACACAACTAATCAACCCACATTTATGGCATAAACAATGTCAGTAAATCTTTAAATATCACTTGATGTGATTTTATATTGGAAATAATCCTAAATGAATATTTTTTGTCTGAATTAATTATTTATATATATATCTTAAACAAGATAAGATTGTATGACAGTATTAATAAAAACGATCAATCAGACAATCAAACTAACCGGTAGTTGAGCTATATGATTACCCTCAATATTTAATTCAGTCAATTTTTCACAAGTGCATAATTCAATTGGGAGTTCCTTTAAGCAATTATATCTGGAATTTTAATGAAGAAAAACAAAACATATTTGTTGATTAGAGATAATAAAATTTGAAAATAAAATTAAGAATAATATTTACATATATGGGAATGATAAAACTTAATGAATTATTACCACTTTTATAAATTCATTATTCATGGTGACGCACAACATACATACAAAACTGTAAAAATTCATTAACTGTCAACCATTGTTTTATAATTGACAGAAAATTTAGCAAATTAATATGCATGTCAATTGATATGCTCGAAACTATTACGAGTTCACGTTACTCGGTAAACGGGGCGAAGATAAATGATGCAGTGACACGATGGGCTATTCTAATCCATTATTCACGGCACGGCTAACTATATCAAGAAGTTTTGATAAGGCGTAGATAGTTGGGAGAGCCACAAAAGGGACTGCTAAAATAATCGATCAGCCAATGACAGTCAGGGAATTTTTGGGTGGGAAATGTAAGCTCAAGGTCAATTAAACGACTTATGCGCGAAAACATAAAAATCTAAAATTAGGATACTTTCCAAGTGACGTCTGGGGATCTACCATCCACAACACAAATACTCATATGTGCCTTATCATTAGATTATTGTTTAAATGTTAGCCTAGCTTTCAAAACAATAACTTCACATATTAAACTAGAAAAAAATTCTCAAAAATTCTTAAAATTAACTTTAGGTTCCAAACAAAACATGTAGAATTTTATTTTATCACAACGGATGGCTCATTAAGAGTTATATAATCATAGCTCAAGTTAAAAGTTTAATATGATGATTGGTTGTGACTATACAGTCAACTGATTATTGAGTAGTGTGACTAATGTTATTTTTACTTAAACTTTTAAGTTCTGATTTAATTCTGTATACTAAATTGCAGTGCAATCACTCATCTAAATAAATCTGGTCAAAGTAGATTCAAAGCTCACAGGAAACACCAGTTCCTTTGAGAGAACAAGGGTCAAACCTAGGTCTAAGGTCTCTTGACAAACACCTCCAACTATCTAATTAGACAGTAACAGATTATAAGCTCCAATTTACATTATATTGTCCTTTTAATAATTACAAATAAAAAACAGAACAGATATTAATGAACAAAATACTTTTGTTAGTAGTGTAAGCCATAATCACAGATATCAAAATGAAAATTATGTTCACTTAACTTATGTACTTCTGAGAATTTTATCTTCGCTATCAAAATAACATTTCTTAAAACTTGAAATAAGATGAAGAGTATGTTTTTTAAGCTTAAGTTCTCTAAGTTGAATAATTTAGTTAGGGAATACAATATCTTTGAATGCTATTCTAAAACACGTATTATTTTAAAAAATTAATAATTAAAATGTTTGAGAATGATGTAAACATTAGACATTTTGTAATTGTTGTTCGCTAATATTTTCAAAATTTTGTTATTGATGTAACCATAAATTTTTGATAAAAAATAAACCTGACGTTTATTTTTTTTCTTTTTCAACAGTTATAGTAGTTTCTTTTAACTCCTATGTTAACATGAAATGTAGTAAGTTTGATTTGAATCGAATTTATAATCAGTAACGTCACCAGCTTTCTTTTGATAAATAATACCAAAAACAAAAATTGATCACAGTTGTAAAAATTTTAACATAATTGGCTAACTTCTTATAGCATTCATTTATTTTGTTGATTATTCCACGCATATAAATAAAATAAATTTTATGTAAATGGAAATGAATTAAAAAGTCTGCAAATTTTAAACGAACTACACTATGATCATACAATTTCATAATTTCAATGATCGTTCAAAACAAAATGAGTAACAAATGTTTTAATGATAAACAGTTGATTGGTTGATCGTTAAGCTTTGAAAACATAAATAGTGAGAGCTGTGTATATGAATGAATATAGGTGTGATGAAAATTAATGAATAACACATTAATATCGAATTATGATTATTGAAAATTGAACCCATAGATGATGACTGAGCAACGAAGTGACAAATTTCAAATACAAGAATGACCAATAAAAACTTACTTAATTCCTAATACCATAAGTTCTGATAGTTGACCAATTGATTTTGGCAATTCAACAATTTGATTGTAGTCCACAAGAAAACGAGATAATAATTTACAATTGCCTATATCTAATATGAAATAAAATAAGAAATGTGTTGTTCACAATTTAAAAACAGATGTATTCATAGTGAGAAAGCAAAAGAACTGTTTTCATTTCATGTTTACCATGTTTGAATAATGTGAATGGAGTAAAATAAACAGAAGAAAAAATTGCCGCAATGATTATTATACTTGTCTGTGAAAATATAATTGTACATTGAAGAAAAAATGGTATATTTATTTTAATTTTCATCATGGTTTACTGTCAGACTATGCTTTTTGTTTCTAACCTTTTCAATGCTTTCCTTAACTAGATTCGTTCTTTTAAAATCATGAATAGTGATATCTTTCTAATCAAAGAACAAGGTAATTTGAAATGTCTTAAGCATGATGCTATTCTCATAAATGATCATAGAAATCATTATACATACAATTTCGTTAACATTAACAAGTTTTGATCATGATCTGTCATTTCAATAAAAACAGTTTATAACAGTTTATCAGTTATTTTTACTAAATATGAATAGATTGTTGATTTATTTACTGGAATTCGAGTATCATAATTGTGTTATTTTATTCTATTTTCACAAGATTTACCGAATTCAAATAATATAATGAATTAGCTTTAATTTATTGAGTGAAAAATCAAATGCTCCAGATTTAATTATCACATATTAATTACTACTTTTAAAGTTTGATTCAATGTCGAGTTTGTACAATATTATCAAATAACAAGTAAGGTAACAATGTATAATTGACTTTGAAAATTGTCTTGTGAATAGCATAGTCTTATCTGTAAGCAGAAAATCCAAATCATCCTATAGCTACTCACTGGTGCATAGATATTCACTACTGTGCAGGAAAGTTCTGAGTTTCATTCCGTATAGATAGATTCACCATAGTATGATTTCTAAGAGTTCTCTATTTTTTAAAGTCAACCCATGACAAATAGAACTAGTTTGAAAAACAGAACTTCTACAAAGAATTCTAACATTCAGTAGCCTTATTAATTCTTATGCTACTATTCACCATGATGTACAAATAAAACTTGAAGTTACCCTTTTCATTTCTTACTGAAGCTCAAGGTGGACAACCTCAGGTTTCACATCTTCTAAAATAAATGCTTTCATGAAATTTCTATAAACTGAGAAATTTAATTTGCATCTTTCATATGAATCGTTCACTTAAATTGTCAATAACTCACATTTTGACAAAAAATATATATAATTTACATATCACATTGAAATTTTGCGACCGAATGCTTTTATGTGTTACTTTTATCAGCCGACATTAAATTTTTTAAACTCGGCCAAAACAAAAAGTGCAACTAAGTGCTAAAAACGTCCAGTAAATTTCGTTAACACGAGAAACTTATTTTTATAAATATTTTATAAGTGAATCTCACCTAAGAATACAAGAGTGACGTAGTTCATATCTTATACAGTGAAATCAACCATAACTGATTGTTAAAGATTGAAAACTATGTATTGAAACTTTTAAAAATAATTTGATGTATTTGAAAAACGTAGTATAAAAATTGAACCAGATAACAAAAGAAACCTCATAGCTGATCAAAAACTTATCCAAAATGGATTACCAGTATATATATATAAATGATGAATAATCATAAATGTAGACCATATTGAAAATCCTGAGTCAATCAAGAAACACTTAATAATAAAAAGAATGAAATAGTCTCGATTTGCATAATTACATTCATTGAGGCGAGGAAATAAAGTTAAGTCTATATATAAGGAGTTGGATTAGTATTGTGAGTTAGGATTATAACGTAACAAGGTTTCCGTCATCAACTGACATCAGCTATAATAAAGAGATTCGTTATCAACTTTTGTTTACAGACTTAAGAAATCTGAAGCTGAAGTTTATGTCTAACAGCTAAAGAGAATACTATAAACCTACAAAAACACCCTGAACTATGCATTGAATCAATTCAATAACTTTAACAAATAATCTGCATTCAGACCAGACATTTCTTGTGATTTGGCTTAAGCACCAAGTCTGAAACACGATTTGGTTGCATTGTATACTTTGTTTAATCAGTTGTAAGCATTCTAGAAACCAAATATTGGTAACTTCCACTTATTTCATGACAGTATACAAGTAATCAAGCACTGTGATCTTGCGCGAAAACGTACGAGGTTCTATCTGAATTCCGATTGATTCGTTCAAAGCTGTTTGCACCATATACTTATAATAAATGCTTGTAAGATAAGTAACATAAAGTTTAGCAGATATTTAATTAATAATTTTACTCCACTGTCATTTAAAAACTATAACTAGATTAGTAAAACATATGTAGAGTAAAACAAAGACTAATTACAGAATTAGCATATTAGTGCAACAGATCCTAGGAACTTCACTTTATCAATTGCATCAAGGTGAAAAGTGAATAATAGTAATATACTTATAGTATTTGATAATATTCTAACCAGTAGAAATTTGTATTCATCATATTTTAATGACTAAATGCAATCTCAGTGACTTAAGAATGTAGATATAAAGAGGTACACTTTTAGAGCTAAAGTTTTATTATTAGGAATGAAATCCATAATGTAAATGTTACAGCTAATAAAAACCAGATATTTAACAACATATCTTTTTTTATCCATATTTCATCTTCACTAGTATATCATTCAAATCGAATTATGTAATAAAATTGTTAAGACTATGAAATTCCACCAAAATCTGCAAAACTGGTATTCATTTTTGGTTGATTAAAAATTATAATTCAATAAATTTCAAACAACTTGATCTTTTCACACAGTTACATGTGTATGTGTCTTATATGAGATATTTTGTGTGTTTATCGATCAGAACGAACTTCGTACACTGAATAGGATCATAATAATCACAACAACCAAAGTGACAATGGCGAAGAAAATACAGTATCTCCATTGAATGCCTAATCAAATTTGAAAAAAAATTAAAATCTACTATTCGTTGTACATTGAATCACTTTAATGACACAATAAGTAGCACAGACTATTTTAAAACAATCAAATATTTCACGTAATGTGCACAGGTAATTATTATGTTTTGAGGTGAGATCAAAGGCTATGAAAATCCTTAAGAACAGTTTTATGAATAAATTTTTTACGGTTCTTTGGTATTAATTGAAGAATGAATAGAAAACATAAAAACTACAGTAAAGTTTTCTACTTTATTTTATTCTTATGGTTCCCTGAAGTAGTGAACAGTTTGAACACCAAAGTACAATGGAATTTAAAACATTTAAGCCTAATAAAACAAACAAATAAACAAACTCAACACTTATTTGATGTTGTTTTTTAGTATCAACCAACTTTGATCATTCATTGATGAATGGCATAAACAGGCATTACTTTTAAATACAAAATAAACCCCTGAGTTAACATTCATATGCTTTCATTAATTAATATAAATTAAAATCATTTAGATAATACAGCGATTAGTTAATTCATTTGTAAATGAAAAATAAGATCAAAACTTGTATGCAATATTGAATTTTCCATGTTTAAAGAAAAAGGTCAATCAGCAACAAACATTTATTCTCAAGAAAATATGTACTTGACTAGATAAAATAATCATTAGAATTCATAAACTATTAATATTATTATTTGAGTATTATTTAACTAAGATTGTCAGTTCAGAAATTTATGACGGAACACCCGGGTTAGTTTTGTTACGGGGTGATAAACTAACGAATCACTAAAAAGTAGTAAGCGACCGCATCAGAGATTAAACTCACGGTTTTTAAGTATCACAGTGAACATGTGACCCCCAGATTATGTAGTCAGTATGTAGTAGTTAGTATATTTAATCAGCAAATTTTTGATACGATGTCTTTCTCAAAACCTAATCGTGTCATCTATATCGGAGAAAGTAACACCATCAAATGTAAGCATAAGTAATGTGTCACATAGTATATATAAGCACGAGTTTCAAATTACCACACCACATCAGTACGATGAGATGAAGTTATCAAGATAAGTGCCAGATTAGTGGAGGTAGTAACGTTATCAGTATTAGTAAAAAACATATGGTACAGATAATCTAATTCGAAAAGAAAGAATTAATCACTATTCATCGTTTTACATTCAGTGGTATTTTCATAGAAAACATTCACTATGCAAACAGTTATTCCTAAAACTTTTGGCTGTTTATTTGTTTTCGTTATGCTAAAATGATATAAGTAGATATGATCAACCGAATGTACATTATGTGATTATGTTCACTTGTAATAATGTAACGATTAACTAAAATGAATTATGTAATCTTAAACAGTTTACGTTAATATAGTCAAATGTTTATCGCAATATAGTTGTGCTATTTTTACGCATACGACAATCGAAGTACAATATAAAAAGGCCTATTTGAATAAATGAACATAATGCATATCCACTTAAGTGATACAAACACCGTGAAGCTCTAAGCTTAAATACTCAACACAAGAATAAACTCACTTAATTTTCTTCGTACTTCACAGTATAATAAACAAATAACGCATTAACATTCAAACTTTTATAAGTCAAAAAAATTTAGTGACGAATGAGGGAAAAATTTTTAGAACAAAACTTTAATCATATGAAATGATAACCTCAAAATGAAATGGTGTTGAATTTTATCCCATGCGAATTACTACAAATAGACTTTCAATGCAAGAATTATTTGAAAATTATGAATGATTTAAAGTGACATATTGTTGTTTCATGATAATTTAAAATAAAATTATTGAATTACAATTATAAGAGTTAGTTAGATGAAGTAGTGAAGTAGAATCATATTTATTGTTTGTTCATTCAAATATATTATCTTATATAGGTTCAAAGACAAATTATGCCATGAATGTTTTACCAGTTGACTGATAATTTCAAACACATAATACAGGACATCCACTGGAAAGAAAACTAAACAATTTAGTGTTAAACTATGCAATGCACAGAGATACATTGTACATTAAAAGTATGAAATGAAAATGTTACTTCAATGAATTCTGACGCGATTACTGAAAAAGTTATTATGAAAACTG